ACAATCTTCACTTATGTCCCAAGATAGCGGATTGGTGTGTGATCAACTGAGTTCAAACCGGCTGCCATTACTCAATCTTGTGAAAAATAACGAGATAACAAATGTGGTATGCCACACAGATCACGGCAGATCGAGCCGACATAATGATCACGTTGATCAAGTTGTTGGGTTGTTGTGAAGAAGTCCTCGTTTTGAGTCAAGGTGTTCTATCACTGATAACCTTAAACTGTGAATCGTAAAACTCCTGTTTTACACGACAAATATATCAAGCTGTACTGAGTTCATAGCAACACTGAGGGCTTAACCATGTTATATATACTTTTCAAAAAAAGAAACTTGACACTGACTTTCAAAATGTTATATAATGCGATTGTTTCAAAATATGACACAGAAACCATAATTGAAACACTGTTTGAAGATCAATATACACAATGTTCAAAACATTAATCGTGTCACCTAGACAGACACACGTACACGATACAGTTAATGTCACAGAGGTACAGAAAATGTCAGTATCGGTTGTGCCCACCACGTGCACCAATCACCGCTGGACACCGACGACCCATAGATGCAATCAAGTTGTCAATAACACGCTGTTGGATGTGCTGCCATTCAGGCTGAAGTGCATCAAGAAGCGCCGGAAGTGTTTGGGGCGGTGGATTCCTTCTGCGAACGCGTCGATCCAACTCGTCCGACAATTGCTCAATCGGGGACAAATCTGGTGACCGGGCTGGCCAAGGTAATGTTTGGATGTTGTTGTGCTGTAAGAAGTCCTGACAAACACGTGCAATATGCGGTCGAGCGTTGTCCTGCTGTAACTGTCCGCCATGAACGTTGACGTGAGGAAGAACGTAAGGCTGTAGGATCAAGTCTCTGTAACGCACACCTGTCAAGGCACCTGCCATATGCACGAGAGGCGTCCTACCACCGTAATGAATTCCGGCCCATACCATGACACTCCCGCCGCAAAATGGGACAACCTGCTGCACACAGTTGGGGGCGTAACGTTCACCCCGACGTCTGTAGACACGTGCGCGCCAATCAGCACGTGTGAGTAGGAAACGGGACTCGTCAGTAAACAGTATATTTCTCCACCTTGCACGTGCCCATCTAACCCTCTGTTAGACGGTCGGCCAGATGACGTGGGGTCAATACATGACGTCGAACAGGTCTTCGTGCAAAAAGTCCAGCCTCCCTCAGTCTGTTGCGTACCGTTTGATCTGATATTCTGCGTACCCCAAGGGATCTGTGTGGTTGTAGACGTGGCTGTGGTAGTGCGGTCTTGGAGGTGTCGCAGCCGGATGTATCGATCTTGTGCTTGGTCTTCCTGACCTTGGTCTGTCGTCAAGTGTGTTGGTGTTGTTGTATCGGGTCCACAGGGCGGAGATTGTCTGTCTGGATACGCCAAAGTGCCCTGCCACTTCTTGCTGACTTGCTCCAGCTTGTAATCTCCCAATGGCGTTTTTCCGTTGAGCTGCATTCAGTCTTGGCATTCTGCCACCGCCTCTACTGCCGTTATAAGGACTGTATGAACAGCCGTTGATGTGGATTTTTATACCCATTCAGCAGGGGGGCCTGCATGCCTAAATGCAGGATCCTGTGCTGCACGTTTTTTAAAGGCGGTTGCGTTTGGATGAAGCTGTAAAATTGATCCCCAAACGCTACGTTTATGTGCTTTGCATGTGTTTTCGCGAATTATAGACACATCATCTTTCTGTTTGACTTATTTGGTTCTCATTTAATGTAATTATTTTAGATATTTGGCAAAAAGTGGTTTTACATCTATGTCAAGTTTCTTTTTTTGAAGAGTATATGTTTCAAGCTGAGTGAATCGTTGTCTTAGTCATGAAACAATGACTATGCACACATATACTGTCGACTGCCTTTGTTGGAGACAAGATAGTGATCGCGATTGCGGCGAGATCTGCACAACGTTTACAACAAAGGGAATATTTGTTTTGAACATTGGGGTAAACGTACGGGATCACACGGAGAGCCCTTTCACAGCACATATAATTTCTTTCATTTTACTATTTAAAGAACCCATCGTTTGTGCGATGATAGCGAATATTGTAAATGACTTTCAGCTGTACTCCCTAAATTGCTCTTTGTAATTATGTCATGTTTTTCGCTCGGTTCCATTGGCGACGACGCTGGCGTTCCGCTGGCGTTCCGAGCCATAACTTGAAAACCGTTCAATGTTTTCGACGATACATGGCATATCCATTGATCACCAACTTAACTGATGCCTTTTACTATTTTGAAGAAAAAATAAAATAATTTTTTTATGTCTCCATGAAAACAAGTTCGACTTAGTCTCAAACGAAAGGGTTCGTTTCCAGGCCATAACTTGAAAACCACTCAACATAATTCAACGAATAACGTGCCTTTCTACAAAACTGTGCATATGCATTGGCTATCAGCCTAACTCGTACCTTTTGCTATTTTGAAGGTTTTCTTAATTCTATATTTTGATGTTTCCACGGAAACAATTTCGACTTATGAGAGGGTTCATTTCTGGGCCATATCTTGAAAACCACTCAACATAATCCAACGGAATTTGGGATATGCATTGCTCCTCAGCTTCACTGGTGCATTTCGATTTTTTTTCTGAATAATATTTTGTTATGTTTCCATGGAAACTATTTAGTCTCAAACAACTCTGGGCTTTGTTTCCGAGGCATAACTCTCAAACTAATGAATATATTTTTATGAGACTATACACGTGCAATGAAATTATGCTCAACTATTGTCTTTTCGTATTTTTAATTTTAATTCTTTTTTAATATTGTTGTGTTTCAATGGAAATAATTTGGAAGTCTAAGTCTCAAACAAATAACATTTGTATCAATCCTTCAAGAATGCTTCACTGTAGTGCAATATACAAATGTCCAGTTCTCATTTTCTACAGAAAATTTACTTCCACTTAAACTTATAGTGCAGAATGTTTGTTTATTTGTTGCAGGAATAATTCACTCCAGTAAAGGTTACCTAAAATATGTATTTGCGTAGACATAAATGTGCGCGCGCGTATCTAAAGGTGAGAAAAGTGTCTTATACAGAGGTGATGTTGATGCTATCGATTTTAACATCACCAGATTTCTGATACCAAAACAATATCAGCCATGGAATTTTAGACTTTATAAATATCTTAGAAACAAGTGAAAGTTCTTCTTCACTTCATACCATATGTGTTGTTCCAAACAAGGAACAGGAACGCTCCCACAATTACCCATCCAAGATATTATTCTTGACAGAAATAACACACACTACTTGAATATACCGTGCCTTGCGTTGAGCATTTACGTATTTTCTGTTGAGTATATATATATACTAGCCACATAAAGAAACTGTGCACGGAGAAAATATATTCTGGATTGAAATACAACACAGCAAGAACAAAATGATGCAGACGCTGTAGCAGCTGAATGATCGGACCATAAGAAAATGTCAACGGTACCTGAACAACATCTGTTACGATGACGTCAGAAGATCAAAATAGAGTAGGGGGTCAAACGACAAAGTCACAAAGTCAATAACGGATATGACCACCCTGTGCGTGAATCACAGCAGTGCATCGGCGACGCATGGAGTCCACCAAATGGGCATGGAAGGCCTGGGGAATGGCCTGCCATATCCTCCTCAAATCCTGTGCCAAGTCACGGACGTTATCTGGAGGATGTGGAAGACGACGCAGACAGCGCTCCATTTCAGCCGTGCTGTTATCCCACCCCAAATCATCACAGAGCCACCTCCAAAACGATTCCTCTCCACAATACAGTTGCGTGCATAACGTTCTCCTAAACGTCGGTAGACACGTTGGCGCCCGTCACTGTGGGAAATGTTGAACCTCGATTCATCTGTAAAGACAACATTTCTCCACCATATTCGAGGTTGGCGAACATGATTTCGACACCATCTTAGACGGTTGACTCGATGACGGTGTGTCTGGATGGGACTTATGGCAGGGCGTCGTGGTCGAATCCCGTACTGACGTAAACGATTCCTGACAGTGTTGGGATGGATACGGCGCAGTCCAGGAATTGTCTGGGACGTCGTTACTGCCGTTTGGAACCTGTGTCGGAGATGTGTAACTGGAATCCATCTGTCCTGTCTTGGCGTCGTTTCTCGGGGACGTCCTGAACGTGGGTGGTCGGCAACGTCATTTGTGTTCTGATAACGCCTCACCAATGCCGATATCGTGTTACGATGGCATTGGAAATGTGTTGCCACCTGTTGTTGCCTCATTCCCGCTCGGATCATTCCAATGGCTTCATGACGCTGTGCAGCTGTCAATCTTCGCATGATTTGCTTGTGTCTGCGCCTGAGAAGTTTTGAATTTTTGAATGACCACAGATCATGCTTTCCAAAGTGACAGCGAATTTTGAGTTGGACATGCTGTGTACAGCTGCACAGGATGCACGTGCAGTAACACATTGCACGTCCATAGGCCCCCATCAATGACGTCATATCGCATGGCTTGTGCATGAGCGTTTGAATGTCTCCAATAATTGCTGTGTTCAAACCTATCTTTCATATATGGACGGTGTGCCCTTATATCTATATTTTCTCCGTGCACAGTTTCTTTATGTGGCTAGTACACACACACACACACACACACACACACACACACACACACACACACACACACACACACACACACACACACACACACACACACACACACACACACACACTATTGTGTGTGTGTGTGTGTGTGTGTGTGTGTGTGTGTGTGTGTGTATACTAGCCACATAAAGAAACTGTGCACGGAGAAAATATAGATATAAGGGCACACCGTCCATATATGAAATATAGGTTTGAACACAGCAATTATTGGAGACATTCAAACGCTCATGCACAAGCCATGCGATATGACGTCATTGATGGGGGCTTTAAGCATGCCCTCCATAGTGGCATGGAATCGTGCGCTTCCGAGGTGGCCCATTATAATATGAACGTTTCGAATATACAATGTATTTAACACAGCAATTCGTGTATTAAATGGCAACCGTTTATTCTGTAAAAAGCAAAGTGACAACAACGCTACATCAATATTCTCATTAATACAATTTTAGTTAACGACAAACGTTCTTGAATATTACTATATGTATCTTAATCTAAATATATATGAAGCAGTCACACACATCAACATGGCAAGTCGTTTCAAACGTTTCTTGTGTCAGGTATGTTTGGAGGCTAATTCAGAGAGAGAAAGTGGGAATATATACCAAATTTCCCAGTTTCAGATTTTGCCTTGATAGTTAGGAAGACCCCAGGTGCATTTGTGTAGGTTGTTTCTGTCAGATACGTATCTTTGGTAGACATTTGTCTAACAATGTCGGCGAAACCTTGTCTTGTTCCAACTGATACTTCATATTCGGTCTTCATGTTGAAATCGTCAAACACACTTGCCCAGTCTACCATGAGGTGTCCGTTCGCCAGTGTTATATTTGGCTCGGCCCCTGGAAATGCAAGATGACAGTATTTTATAGGCAGATTTGAAGTGTTGAGCGTTGGAGGCTCTGGAAACATATGGATCAAACACAACCTTATTTGTTGATTTACTAACATTTTAGGACGTATACAACAAGTCTTAACAGAGACAATGTCACACAACATCTCTCCCTTCACATAAGATGGACCACAGACCCTGTTACACTTTGATCATCATAAAAATGAATAATTAAGAATACACAATGTTTTTTTGAAAAAAGTAGTGAAACATGGTTACTACAAATTGTTGCTGGTAGTTAAGCTTCTGTAGCTATTTGTGATATTTCAGTTATAAATTAGCCTGTTTGTTTCTGTAACAACCTCCACTACAGCTAGTGTTACGTCTACCATCATATCTCGTACAACCTATGCCACAAGGGTGTCTTCATCTGCAACATCCTGCTGAATGACGGACATTCTCACCTGTGGTCGAGGGCGACCGGCTCTCGACTGTTATGGTACTGTTGAGGATATTGCTGTACTGGACCCTGCCATTCACAGCGCGGACCTGGATTTCATACACATGTCCATCTTGGAGACTCAGTGCGTCAAGTGTTGCGTACGTCTTCTGTCCCATAGACACCCAATCTGCTACTGGCGTACCATGTTCAAGAAGGCGACATTCATAGCTCCCGACGTCAGAAGTGTCCCCATCCTTCCAAACAAATTCTACGTGGTCAGTGTAACCCTGGACGTTGGACGGGAGGGACCCCGAAGATATCTGATTGTCCACTATAAGTTTCAAAGATCCAATGGGGAGTGCAGGAGGATGGTATACAACATGCAGAAGCTGTGACTTGATAACTGTCTCCAAGTTTACGTTGTTTATGCAACGGGCCCACACGTGGAGAACACTGTCATGAGGGGCAGAGATGTTCTTCAGTTCGCAGTGAGTCAAGCTCTGTGACCTTCTCCACGTGTGATCATCATAGGACAGAGGGTGTGTTCCTGTGAAACGTAAATGTTTTACAAGTTGAAAAAGCCTATGCATAAAATTGGTGGTGTGTCTTGTCTAAATAACACCAAACCCAAACTCAAATGCTTTTGATATGTAGAACATGTAGAATCCAGTCACACATTAAAAGTGCAAGTGTACAGTTTAAGACTTTGTGTTGAACAATATAACTGTGTCACTTGTCCTTGCATTTACTAATGTAATTATGTTATTATGTAAAGCTAAGAAACAATAAATAAAAACATATTTTACCGTATGTACATAGGCATGAGTGTACTCCACTTTCCACATCCTGAACCTCCCAGGTCATCAGAATAGATACAGTATCAGATCCTACTATATATTCCAGAGTACCTGACGGAACACTCATGTCTGGTGGAGTATGGTCGATGGTGATTGGCTTGGATGTGAAGATGGTTCTGAGACCAGCATTGTTCTCTGCCATCACCGTAACATGAACAGGGCTACCATGTGGCTCTTCCACCAGAATCATTTCATGGTTGCTGACAGACGTTGGAGACAAGGCACGGATCTGGTATCCTCCCTTGCTTGTTCCTGCTCCAAGCCACACACTTCTAGTTCCACTTTCATGATCTATTACCCTGGCACAAACAGCAACAACAGACGGTCGGATTTGCCGAACTGTGATGCCATTTGTTGGATCAGTCTCTGCTAGGTTTTGACACGCCCCAAGCGTCACATTGAAGGCATTTGAAACAGTTGTCCCTGTGATTGATAAACTTATGTTACTGAGGCCAGAACGTGAGGCCAGGAAGCTGTGTGAGGCCTGTACTCCTGAGAATGTCTTCTCAAATTTTGCTGGAAATTGAAGGTTACCAACTGTAAAAATGACACGTGACACATGAATGTCCAAGTTGCCTTTCAGTGTCATTCGGTAGAATGTATCCTTCAGCAGATGTTCAAACACATGTAGTTGAATGGAGTCATGTCGAAGAGATTTGTACTGAAGTGCAGTAGAATTCACTTTCCTATCAACAAAAGATGTGCATTCAAATGCCTTGGGGGATGATGTGTCAATCAGTACACTTGGAGACTCAGCAGTGTTGCTAGCAATGCCTGCAGCATCAACTGCTCTGACTGCAACACGATACCTCTTCTTCTCCTCAAGTGTCAGATTTTCTATGGTGATCTCATTTTCTATTCCACGATACTTGAACATAGAGTCCAGGACATGTTCTCCTTCTTTCAAAACTGCGATTTCAAACCTCTGAACATAGGAATGGTAGTCTTCAAATCCATGCCACGAAGCCTTCAGTGTTGTGTTGGATGACTGAAACTCGATGTTCTTGTGGCGGTCAGTGTTGAAGACTATGCCAACTACAGGTGGTGCATCATCAACTACAAAACCATCAGACACTGCTATAGTCTGCAGACCAGCCAGGTTTGTTGCCCTGATGCTACTGTAGTATTTCGAGCCACTTTTTAGGAGTGGCAGAGGAATCGAAAAGGATGTTTGATTACCCATAGATGTTGCCTGAATAACGTCATCACCTACAAAAGAGAAAACAGTGTTGTAGTATTTCAAGTCTATGCATGGGTGAATGAATAAGATTTAGTGGAATGATGTTATGGTGTAGATGTAGTTTTAGTGTTACCCTTTAGAATTGATGTGTCGATATTTGTTTAAAATTAATTTGTGTTCTACACAGTTCTGAAGTTATGTTCATAATTTAATAAAGATATTCAACATACCTTCAGGCGATGTTCCAATCCAAACTTCAAAGCCTGTCAGTGGTGTTTGTGTGTCATTGAATACTCCCTCCCAACATGCTGTTATGGTTTGTCCATGACTAAAGTATTCCTCATCTTTTTTACAAGACCCATCTGAATCCAGAAGTGACTTAGCCCTCTGAACTGCAGGTGGTGTGTGGTCAACAAGGAAACTATGAGACTGGAACACAGCATAATCACTGAAGCTAAACCAGGCTTTCACCTGAGCGATATATTCTGTCCCATGCAGAAGTGATCGTCCCCGAGGAAGGCAGTGTATAAGCCTGGTACGTTTCCCTATTTCCCGCCATACAGACTCAGTTTTGTGATCAAATATTCCAACTCCTGGTGATTTTCCTTTTTCCCCAATGCTCCATTGAAATCGAGTGATTGAGTTTAATACCTGCGATGATGAGGCCTCCCAATGGGCAGTTAGACATGATGATGAGCTGGTAACTGTTGTATCCGCCTCAAGACCAGGATGTACAACTATGTCGGTACTCTTCTGTTTACTGGTTGTATCAGTGCAGTTCGGCTGTGATGAAGTCAGCAGACAACGCTGTCCGAAAACAGCACATGTGCAGTCCCCAGTGCAGTAATGAACTGAGCATGAGTGGCGTTGGAGTTCCAGCATCCCCTTTGTATGTTTCGCATCAGTGGCAACAACTGCCACCGTCACCTTTCCTACTCCACTTGATAGGCCAGCGGTATTTGTTGCTAAGATTGTCAGGATTATATTTTCTCCAGTTCTGATCTGATCACTGAGTATGAAGGAAGCTGATTGTTTAGTAGCGTACATGTCATGTACTATCTGAACAACCCCTCTCGATAGCTCATTGCCATCATATGTTCGACTGACAGAGATATGATAGGACTTGATTCCTGATTCAGTGTCTGTAAAGCCAAGCCATTTCAGGTTGATACGTGTCTTGGTTACACCTGTGTCGGTGATACTTTCCCATACCATTGGAGATTCGAATCCTCCCAGTTGTGGGGGAGTAGAGTCTATACGAATCTGGTTACTTGTGGCTGTGGAGCAGAGACCTGCAGCATTACAGGCAGTGACAGTGGCCGTGTAGACATCTCCACTTCTCATTAGATTCCCTGCTTCAAAGAGAATGATGGTGGAGTCCTGAGCGCCCAGGTGTATACTTTCAACAGCAGATTCTCCATCATGATGAGTAGACAGAGACACCAGGTGTCTTTGCATTGGACTATCAGCGTCTGTGAACTTCCAGTGAAGATGAAGCATGGAGTTCTCCCACTGCACATTCACAGCAGACATGTTTTTAGAGTAGGGTGATGTGAACGTAGGTTTTTGTGTTGCTACTGGTGGGGATGCGTCAACGATGAAGCTGTCTGAAGTGGACGTGGCCACTAGACCTGCGGGGTTTGTTGCATTGACAGTAACATACAGGGGGTGACCAGAGGGCAGCTTGAGACCTGTTTTAAGTACTGAGTCGGAAAGGAGGTTGTTGATACTTGGAAGTACATCACATTTTCTGGAAGATGTTCCGATACACCAGTCAAAGTGGTAGATTCCTGTATCTGGGTCCTCAAATCCAAACCATCGTGCAGAGAGAGTTGAGCTGAAATGAACGAATGGCAAATATTATGTTATGTGAGCAAGGAGTCAGTACCAGAATTAGTTCGAAATAATCTGCAATTTCGGAAGTAAATGCCATTTGAAAGTCCTTAAATGTAAAGGTGAACTCTAACTTTTAATGAATTAACTGATCATAACTAGCTATGAATAGTTAGTAAAAGTTACACATGTCCATGATATTTATGGTGCCGTCCATCATGTCCCACAAAGACCATGCCAGGTACTGGAGGCGAGTTGTCGAGAATGATCCCATCTGATACAGCTTTTGAGCAAAGACCTGCATGGTTACAAGCCTTCACACTGCAGTAGAGCTTTATCCCGACAGGCAAGTCTCCAGTCCATGACATTTCTGCAAAGGACAAGGCGTCAAAGAAAAATCTTTGCATCATTTCATACAATTGTAGTTTTCACGCCAAGTTTTTGTAGTATTTTTATGTCTTGAAGACACATTGTGTATTGCCATCTAGGGTTTGTGAAGGGAAATAAAACATGTTTTTTTATTGATGTTATTAACTGACTTAATTACTTTTACATGAGTAAAGACACCTTTAACATTGTCTACATACAAGCACGATATGAGCACGAAATGTTTGATATATGTACCCGTTCCAAGACCAACATGGGTTTCTGTCTCTACATCATCCAGATAGGACTGAGTCCCTAGACTAACAAGGAAGGAGGACAACCCAGAGTGTGGATCATCAAATCCAGACCAGTGACAACTGTACATGTCAGTGTAACTCTGGTAGTCTAGCTCCACCTGCAATAGGTGCGAAATAACAAACTGATATACGCCAGTATACAAATACATGATAATGAATTTTCTATAATGCAGAAATTCCTACCTACAAGTATTCAAAGCCACTTGAAAGTGAACTCAATTAATTCATTTCAAAAGCTTTGAGGAAGAAGAACATTTTTCATATGCTTCTGGTTGATAAGGTTCTCTTTCCAATTGCTGTGTTTGTACTTGATAGAGTGGAGTGATTGATATACAACCAGTTGTAATTGCAATTGTATGGTTTCTTACTGGCAATATGAATTATAGACATTATTCATTGCACACATTTTTACACCCAATTATCGTTAATAATATAATGCTTCATGTCCTTGTGATTTAACCCAGCATATCTTCATTCAAGTTACATGTAAAACGTTGAGTATAATGATCATTTGCTCAGTATAGGACACAGGGCCTACCTGGTTTGTTTTTCTACCATCTGTAACAACACCATTTGTAGGCGGCGACGTGTCCACGGTGAAGCTGTTGGACACTGCCATTGAAGTCAAGCCAGCTTGGTTTGTTACCTTCAGAAAGCATGTGTGTTTGAATGCTAAAATATGATTATATATTTCACGGGTCCCATTATATTGTAGACATCGTATGTGTATATATCAGTACATGAATGAATCAATATTCCTTTAAGCCACATCAGCAATATTACATCTATTTGTGGAGATATATATCGGTACATACTCATAGGTGAAATCTATAGGCAGAATCTGAACATGTAACTTATTGTACCATTATTCTAGCAAAATACTCATGGCCATCTATGAATCCATTCATATGGAGGTCTGCAAATGTTCCTGAATATTTCATGAATGGTGACAGTGTTCCGGTGCTGGTCGATCCTATAGAGAGATATGTTGACAGGATGCCAGACTCAGGATCTTCGAATCCGGCCCAATGGACAGTCAGCCTGTCTCCTGACACCACACTATGGCTGTCAAGAATGTCACCAATGAAGATGTCGCCTGTCTTAGGTGGTGTAACATCAACCAGAACAGCACCAGATGTTGCTGATGTTGAGTGTCCAAGTCGGTCATAAGCTGAAAGAACCCAATGATCAACAGACATGATGTTGGCAAAGCATCCACCCTTTTATGATATGTTCCATATGTAAAGCATAATTATTCAACCTACTTTTTAAAGATAATGTAATTTTCATATCAGGTTTTCGGTCTTGACATACCTTTCACTGTCGTGTAGTAGGTTTTACCATTTTCCAAGATGATTTTTGAAATGATTGCGTTGTGTACTAGGCCAACTCTTGTGAAGGGCTGAGCATCCTGCCCCCCTGGATAGGTACCTTTGACACATGTAAACAATTTAATTTTGGATTGTTGTTGACAAAAGAAACAATTCCCGTCTATACACGTTGTCACTATGTAATATGTAAATAAATTATGAATTTAACTTTCCTTAAGCAATGTTTCAAAAGTAAATATATATGTCCATACTACTCACCTATGGCATATGAGAAATGAGCAATGCCTGAATCTGTGTCCTTGAAATATGATTCATGGTCACTAAATCCCGACCAAGCTATCTCCAAAACATCTCCTTCTGTTAGAAAGCCATTCTGTTGGTTGATTACATAGACTTCTCCTTTTGTAGGGGGAAGGTCATCTATGATAACACCGTCCCCACATTCTGATATTCTTGAATTATTTTGTCCAGTAGGAACGCTATGTATACATATGTAATATTTCACACTGTCCAGTAACTCTAGACCGTGAAAATAAGCAACAGGCCCTACAGCATCTACACTTGTGATGCATTTGTCATCAGCTTCACAGTCATTTGGAATATGAGGTTCTGTCATCAGATACCAGGTGGACATCCTGCCTTCTATTCCATCTATTACACCGGCCAGTTTAATCTTTGATTCAGCAACATCAGTGTCAAAAGAAGCAAGATTACGAGTTTCCAGCTTGTCTATCATTTCTCTTATCACCTGGATATCCTTTTGATCAACTTCAACAAGTCTGTTCCCCTGTTTTCTGGTGTGATGCACAGTCTGACAGGATGTATCAGACAGGCCAGATGGACATATGACCCTGACGCATATGTTGATGATACTGTGAGACTGAACGTGGTCCTCCAGACAGACGTCAGACTGGAAAGCATAAAGAAATAGTTGTAACATTTTATGCCCCCCCCCCACCAAATATTCCCCCATCATAATATGGTTTCAACAATGTCCATAAATAAAAGGTAACATGGTCACTACCATGCGTCAGATATATAACAAGCATGTGTATTACCTGTCCTTTGGCGAGTGACTGGTCAGTTTTCCAGGATGTGAATGGGTTGTTATGTTTGTCTGAAGCAGCCCACTGATAGATGATTGTCTTTGAATCTCCCGGTTCCTCTTCACATTTGACACTGTCAACATGAATTGTCATAGCATGGCAAGAAGATGTAGAGCTACTGTTGAATGACGACGATGTTGTTACTTTTTGCAGTCCAGAAACGACCTTTACTCCATCTGAAGATTTCCATGGTAAACACACTGTGTCAAAACAAGGTCTCACAAACACTTGATACACCTTGCCATGTCCTAGGACCATATTCGTGAAGTCTGCATAGTCAGTGCCACTATCAACAATAATGGTAGATAGAGTTTTATAACATTGTGTTCGGTTTTCGCAGTGCATTCTTTCCTTGAGGGCAGCTTCAAAATGAGTTGTTAACACCTTCAATGGACCAGCATATGTCCAGTAAGATGATACTCTGTTCTTAGACAACGTGTAATCAATGTCTAGAGAGCACATGTGAATAGTTGAGTTGGTTATGTCATCAGCAGAGTTAATGTAGAACCGAGGGTAATGCGTCAAAGGTACAAACTGATATGTGTCCATGTCCTTCTTTCCATCAGTGTTTATGTTTGACATTAAAAGAACATCATCCATTGAAATGTTGCCAGTTATGGAATTTTCAAACTCAACAATGTATGTGTGACCAATATGGAGAGATGCAGAAGGTTTGTAAACCCTAGTGAAGTTGCTGTCTAACTTTTTATCTGTTTCTGGGTCCAATCCAGATGTGCCATAACTTTGATCGCCACATGCTACTCCATCAAAGACTTCAAGGATAAATTGGTCACTTGTTGGCTGATCAATAATGATGAAACCATCGGATGAAGCATACGATGATCCACCCGAGCATGTTGCCCTTACTGTTGCATAATACTTAATACGTGGCTTGAAACTGGATGACGTTATACATATGCTTGTGCCATTTGCAACTCTGAATGGACTAATGTCACTTCCATTTGCAGAAGACCCTAGCGCCACTTCAAACTGGACATCTCGGTGATGACTGAAGCCATTCCACCTGACACAGGACTTCCTTAGTGACGAATGAAAGTCAACATCATCCTTCCGACCCTCATGCATTGGGTCAATGTCATACACTAGCCCATGTCCTGGTGGGAATCTGGATGGCACTGTAATCTTCTCTGTGTTGACGATAGTGAAATGGCCAGCAGAATTGTATACATACAGTTCAAACAGAAATGGTTTGTTAAGCTCCGAGTCCATCTCTTGCAGTCGTTCGAGTGGATATCTGATGCAACCAGCATGACCCTGGATCTGACATGATTCCGTGATCTGCTTTGGAGTTTGGAGAATAGGTGTAACACGTTGTCCATCGTGCACTGAAAGGAAATGTTTTCGAAGTATAACCAACATTGATTGATGTTACAAATAATGCTTTGTACATTACAAGTCACAATTTCCTTTACATTGGGTTTTCTATTGGAAGACTGATAATTAGCCAGAAGTGACAAGTCGACATATATCTGTAGGAATAATTTTATCCACTAACTGATTCTGACCCGCGAAGATCCGGGGGAGAATAGATCTGCAGCAACCCATGCTTGCTGTAAAAAGCGACTCGTAAGAGGATTGGGTGGTCAGGTTCACTGACTTGGTTGATGCATGTCATCGTATTCCAATTGCGTGGATCGATGCTCATAATATCAATCACTGGATTGTCTGTTCCAGACTCGATTATTTACAGACCGTCGTCATATAGCTGGAATATTACTAAGTGCGGCGTAAAGCAAGAAACAAACAAACAAAACTTACTAATTCTGAAGAGAACTGTAAATGTTGAGTCCTGTTCCTGGTCAGAGAATGTATCGTTATCCCATTTGATTATGACAAACTTTCCACTTAGTATTGGTAATACTTTCCCAGTTATTATAGGGGGTGTATTGTCAATCATCACTGGCCCAAATGTTGCAACTGATGATAATCCAGCCTTGTTCATTGCCTTTAGAAAGATGTAAAAGGTGTTCTTCCCAGCAATGCCAACATGGTTAAGCTTAAAGAAGTGATGTCCTTTACTGGATGCATAGTCCAGGATATCTGGGTCATGAGCTGTTGACTTGTCAGATCCGAATCCTACTGAGAAATCTCGCATTTGACTTTCCATCTCAGAGCAGTTCCAGTGGTAGACTATCTTGTCAGAGGGAAGAAAAATTAGGGAGCCATCGAGTGAAGGAAGATCTCTACAGTAACTATCATCAATTTCGGTATCATTCAAGATGTTTAAGATCTTTGGTAACATTTGACCCATTATTGATGTGGACTTTGATTTGCATCTCTGTGCACATTCACTGGTCTTTCCAAGCAGTCTTCGTGTTAGATTTCTTGTGACAAGCCAGAGATCCCCATCCAGACAAACAACATGTTCCTGTGATGTTTGCGCAGAACTAAGTGTGATATTGTAAACTGACGGCGGTGAGATATCCCTTATTATCCCATCAGAACACGAAGGTGTTGAAGGACTAAGAGCGGCATTGAAGGCAACAACTGTGGCATAATATTTGTTCATCTCTTTCCTAATTTTGAACTGTGCAGTATTGATGCCTTCTGTAACTTCCAACGTTTCTGTTATGTTCTTCATTTCATCCAGTGTCAGACATGTAGGGGCCAGGCTGACCAGGTAATGGTTGATGCCACTTTCGTGGTCAATAAACCCTGCCCAGTTTACCAATACAGTATCTTCACTTGTGTAGTCCACGTCTTGTCCGTCCACTGCTCCTTCTTTAACGATCCCTGCTTCAGGTGGAGATGCGTCCACAAGGATGTCAAGGTGGTCGATGATCCGAAGGTCTGCTCCATTCGTTGCCACCACTGTGAAGTAGAAGGCCTGGTTGTGCTGAGCATCATTTGTCTTGTTAGCCACCAGGCTGTTCAGTGGAACAGTGTAGTTGTGTAACTGGCACTCTCCAATGGTGGGACAGTAGCACTTGGAATTAGTTGGACATGACTGGGAATATAAAATAATTGATTTCGCTTAATAATGACTTGATCTAATTATTAGATAAAACAATAACGGGTATCTGTATATTTTACTCCACTAGATCCACTTTTTAACCAAAAAAGACACAACGAACACCATATCTTCTATTATGGTCAGTCAGGGAAAACACCTGTTTGCACTAAAAGTTTGCACTAAACTGTCATTAATTATTATTTAACTTTCTAATACATTAGCCCCAAACACAGTTAACGAAAATCGCCAAATCAATCACATTAACCTATGCAACAAGCAACAAATAATAAATTGGTTTTCTTGTCATTTTATACAAAAAGATGTTTCTTTGATATTCTGACATTCAGTCTATAATTTTCCATCCCCGAGTTATATCATATTGTATTATATTATTTTAAATTATATTTTTGTTTCCAAATCTATTTTTGATAAATTCCCTATACCCATTACCTATTCGACTGTGCATACCAGAAGAATTGTTTGAATTTACTTTAGCTTGGAGGATTTAAGACAAAAAGAGCGCTTGTGATATCACTACTCATTTCGATCATGAAAGAATGGTATAATGTCAGCCAGACAACAATATAAATGATTGTGGAGAATGGGCCCAGGACATTAATGATAATAAAATGAAGATGTGACATGATCATGGATAATGATTCTAAGATGCACAGCTTAATACAGTGAATGACCACACGATTATACACGATTATGGAGGATATTATGAAATAAACCAACTAATATATTGAATGAAATGTGTTGTGATGTTGTTCCTACCGTTCCATTCAGTTTCCCCGATGGCAGCACACCATGTCCAAGATCTTCTGAAGAGTCCGCTGTGCCAAGATACCATTCAACAGTTTTGACGCCACTGTGAGGGTCGATGACATCAAACTGAAGCACCATGGTAGACAGGTCAAGACTATCGTGGACATACACCTGCTTGTTTCCATCCTTTACAAGCCACATGTTTGATATATCAGGAACAGTCGAGTCAATGTAAACCCATACAGATTCCACAAGAGAGTTGTTAACAATGTCCGTCATTTGTAATGATATGTTGAAAGTTTGCCCATCGTGCAGTTTGGGGGAAATGCATAGTGATTGGTTTGTGAAGTGTGGAACGTGCGTCCAGTCTGATTGGGCAGCGTGGTCTGCAGAGACAGAATACTTTGCCTTAATGATACCATCAACGTTTGGAGTTCCAGATATCGGAAGGATCCCAGCAGTTTGGTCATAGTCAGTTTCCACTTCTACCTGGGGAGAGACTGGATCCAAAGGATTGTTTACTCTCATTTCATTGTTGAAGTAACGCCCTTTATAGTCAATGCAAATATGTCCGAGGTTTGTCTGCCACTTGTAGCCAGTTTTGGGTGATGCAGATACAACCTGCAGAGGCTTTGTGGGCATTTTCATCAATTGTGAAGAGCTGTCATACAGCACCAATCGCCGCACATGTTGGATGTTTTTAGCCCTGTCATGAACTTCCAAAATGACTGCATAGAGGCCATCTTTCATTGGCAGTTGGATAGGTTTGTCCAATTGAAACGTATTATCATATTTAAAATCAAGATCTTTCAATGATGTTTGTATTACGTCGATACTGTTTCCTTTGTGTGCAGTCTCGAGAACTTGTAGTTTGGTGAAGATCAAACCAGATGCAGCATCAGACTTTCCACCTTTTGGAATCGGATCCGCCCAGCCAGTGGTGTGTATGTTCAACAAACCTTCAAATAGGAGAATAACATTCTATGACATCTATATGACTTGTAATGCATATTATGTCCTTATATGTCCCTTCCTGAAAATAGGCATTGAATTTTGTGAATGCCTCATTTAAGCAGAGCAGGTTTTCTGTCCATGAAGGAAAAAACAGGGCCTGCAGATTTGGTTGGAAATTTAAACACCAGAGTAAGAAAGGAGGAGTACTTTATTGGGCATGTAAACAACGTTAAAACCCGTCAGGTAAAAAAATTAAAAAAACATCGAGAAAGAACATCGAGTTTGTTTTGCCCTATTGAGAAGCAGGGTTGACCACCGCAATGTCAGTTTTTCAAGTTCAGTACAAGCGCTTCTAGACGCGTTTACGAGTGTGCATCCTCCTCTGCTAAAGAACTAGGGATATTCTAATTATAATGTGGAGTTGGGTGAGTAGGGTTTGAACACTGCTTCAAGTAGTACAATTATAGCATGGCGTTTTAGCTTGTTGAGAGAGGAAAGCCTTAAGTGATGCAGGGTATTGTGCTGGCAAGCCTACAAATATAATCAAGGCAAACCAGGGTTCCAACCCACGATTATAGGCTTCTGGCTTGCTTCACGAACACAACTGTGCGGTGCATTGGACTGCAGGGCCGCCCACGACTATTCTAATCTAACGAATATGCCCAGGGAAGTCTGTAGGGGGGCATCCTACTTGTCCGGCACCTTTTGTCTTAGTAGTAAAATCGCCCAGGCGTACTAATTGGTCAAACAATAGAGGGATTAGGGGGGCATCTCAAGATTTTATGCTGGGGGTGAACCAATTTCAAGATGATCTCGTGACCAAATACAGTAATGTTCACAATCATTTACCTGATGAAGATAAGATTACTGTTGACAAATTGCTGGCAAATTTGAAGAATACAGTGCGCACATAGTCAAAGCCTATTCCCACACTGTACAAAGAGGAATTGTCAAGTAAGTACGCCATACATTGTACAATTTTGTATATTTAGTTATTACATTGTACAGTTGAGTTATTTATCTAAGTATGCAAGTGAAACTGTCCTTTTGTGTAAAAATGATCCAAAACGAGGATTCACAGATAAGATTCACATTGTTATACTTTGTTGGTCATTGTATATTTATTATTTTGCTTCTGTTTCAGAACTGAGACCAAAGTATCCGCAACACCCTCTACATGTCGAGAGCCAAGAACATCCCAGCCTTGCCAAAAATACGATCCGACGTCAACATTCCCGTCCAATATGCCTCGACCAAACGATGACTTCCTGCTACATTCCAGCCCTGACAAAAATATTCTCATCTTTGCCACCGTTGAGAATCTCCGCCATTTGTCCTCAGCTACAAATTTCAACTGTGATGGAACGTTCAACATGTGTCCATCCTTGTATTATCGGCTCTACACGGTCCATGCCTTTGGGGACAACAAGATGGTTCCCCTTGTGTATGGACTTCAATCAAAATACCACACCTTCTTTGACACGACGTGTGGGTGAACTTTGCAGGCTATGTGACCGAGCAATGGGTGGGCAAAAAACAACTGTGCTTTGTGGAATCACTTCCATACCACTGGTCCACGTACAACCAACCATCTTGAAGGTTGGCACTCCAACCTAAAGAGGCTTGGACGCAGTCACCCAAACCTGTATAAATTCATTGAAATTATCCAATTTGAGCAGGACAGTAATGAGATTGTAATCATGCAGCTGCAGTCTGGTAGTTTGATGCCGCCAAAAAAGAGGCGGTATCGGAATTTGGAACACGCTCTTGAAAGAGAAGCGACTTCTGACTACAAATCAGAAATCAAAATACCAGTACCATGACGCAGTGTCGTATCTTGTTGGTTTGTGAATTGTGAATGTATGTACAGAAGTCATATTATACATCGATAAATAAAGAAACTTTTTGTAATACAATGGGAAAAGCATTACTGGTGTATTGTATTGTATTTTTGTGTGCATTTTTATCTAATAAAAGTATAATTTGAAATATATACAAATGTAGTTTGTAAATGTGTATGTATGTGATATTGCACAATTTGTATATGGATATACTTGAATCTTTACTTTTAAAACAATATCAATGGAAATAAAATGTTGAACAAAAACACTTTCTTCTGAGGCCGGACTACTGGGGACCATCACTGACAGACTTATATTTGAGACGACCCCTCGTCTTAAACACACATGGTGGGGATTAACTGTTTGCCGGCTGCCGAGAAAAGACGGATATCAGCGTTTATAGACATTGAACATCAATAGGATCAGTAGATGTTATTTGATTGGCCACACATATACCCGTCACCCACCCGCAGGAGTATTTTTAAATGTGGCATAGCAACATACTCATCATCTTCCCGAGGCAAGGGAGTTAACTGAGTCCAGTTAAAGTCCAGTTTCCCTCCTTGCCGAACTTGGCTGGAATTCCTGGGTTCGATCGTAGCGCCACCAGTGGCTATTACGAGTTATGTCCTTTCTATACCTCTCCTATTGACTATTGCAGTCAGATTCAACCTCTCGTATCACTTGCATTTGATTCAAACAAAACGGTGGCGCCCAGTCAAGACGATCAGATCGATATTCAAGATCTATATTGTGATCAAACGAGTCTTACATCGCGAAGTGCATCAAATCACGTGAGCACATTGATTAAAAGCATGAAAAGATATAGAAAATATCTGTTGACAACGAGTTAGCGGTGCACATGCTTTGCAAATCCTGCAGTCGACCGAAATCTGCATGACACTTAACGAATCAGATTTTGGATTTCGGTGCGCGATTTTGATTGGACTATGCATAGACTCGTTAGCCCAGCCATAATGTAACTCCATAATACCAGCCTAGTTCGGCAAGGGTTGAACTGGACTTTTATAGTCAGTTAACTCACTTGCCTCGGGAAGATGCATACTCATTGACTGTACTAGTCTATTGTATTTGCATACATTTCTACCCGTGAAGATCTTGGGTAGAATAAGTTTTCAGCTACCCATGCTTGCTGTCAAAGGCAATAAAGCTTGTCATACGATGCGACTAACGGAACGGGTGGTCAGACTCGCTGACTTGGTTAATGCATGTCATCGTATCCCAACTACGTGGATCGATGTTCATGATGTTAATCACTGGATTGTCTGGTCAAGACTCGATTAGTAACAGACCTCCGTCATTTATCTGGAATATTGCTGCGTGTGGCGTGAAACAACAAACAATAAGAATAATTGGAATAAGAGGACAGTAAGGCTGATAAATGAATTGCATTTTGCTTACCAGTTCTGGTTATCCTAGTTGATAGTTCAAGTGGTTGTGACACACAGCTGCTTGTACTGAGCTTGGAGCAGTGCACAGGTTTACCGATATCATAACGGAAACATAGCTGTTTAGTGGAAGTCTGGTGACTGTAGATCTCGGTTCCTTTATGCTGTCCGTCAAAGTCCTGATATTTGAAGAAGCCTCCTCCGGTTGCAGAAAGGTTGAGACAAATCCTAGATAAGCAAAATACTTTGGCTGATGCCAAACTAGCATCTCTTGCACTTGCTAACATCAGGAAAATACATGTAAAATGGCAGTAAAGTATATACTGAACAACAAAAGTTCCTGTGACATTGAATAAGATTTAATGCAAAGTTATGCTTTTTTTACCAAATCTGAAACAATTTCGGTTTGCAACAGATAAAAGACTCCTGTAAATGGTCAAATGGTTTAATTTGCCATACTGACTTCAGAAAATGCGTGATTTCTTAAAAAAACCACATGAACATGCCAAAATGCCAATATACAAATCAACAGCTTGTGTGTCCACCTCTGGTGGCAAGCAACAGATCCTCTTCTCATGGAATGGACCAGGCTTCGCCAAAGTCCTGTGGGATATCTGTCCATATCTGCTGGAGCATGTTTCAAAGTTCCTGGAGTGTCTGTGGAACACGTGGTTGACGTCGAAGGCATCCCACAAGTGCTCGATTGGTGAGAGATCAGGGGAGCGAGCCGGCCAGGGGATGACATTTACGTTGTTTTGTTGAAGAGAATCCTGAACAAGTCGAGCAATATGGCCGGGCGTTGTCATGTTGAAAGGGATTGCCTGGGCCATGACGATACAAAAACGGTAGAACAACAGGGCCGATGATCTCGTCGCCGTAGCGCTGTCCATTGAGATTTCCCTCTACCACTATCAAACGGGTCCTCTGTCTTGCTGTAATCCAACCCTATACAATAACGCTGCCTGTGACGGTCGGGTAGCCTGGTGGTTAAAGCGTTCGCTCGTCACGCTGAAGATCCGGTTTTGATTCCCGACATGGCTACAATGTGCGAAGCCTATTTCTGGTGTACTCCGCCGTGATATTAATGGAATATTGCTAAAAGCGGCGTAAAACCATACTCACTGACTTATTCGTAACGCTGCCGCCCCCGAACCGATCTTCTTCCATGACATAATGATTGACGTAACGATCACCTCGACGTCTGTACACTCGAATCCGTTCATCGCTGTGGCTGAGGTGAAAACGAGACTCGTCAGTGAACAGAACTTGTCCCCAGTGCATGGCCGTCCAGCGTAGACGCTGTCTGTACCACTGTGGACGTGCTTGACGGTAGTTTCCTGTCAAACTTGGACGTCTTGTGGGTCTTCTGGCGACAATCCCTGCACATCTGAAGCGACGACGTACGGTTTGTGAAGATATTCGTCGAAGGCCAGGCATGCTTCTTGCAGTCACTGTTGCTGGCTAGAATCGATTTCGTAGGTGTGTTGTTCGAATCCAGTTGTCTTGTCGATTATTGGTGACGCGTGACCTGCCACTCCGAGGATGGTCTCTGACTGCATTCGTCTGTTGCCAATGTTGCTATAAACACCAAATGGTGTTTCTGTGGACGATAATTTGTCTTGTTACATCACGTTGACTCGATCCTGCTTTAAGCATACCAATGGCTCGCAGACGCTCATTTCCGGACAGGCGATGCATTTCGTAATGTTGAATAATTGCGTAATTTTGTTGTTTTTCTGAGTGGTTGTTGTCAGCACGATGCTAAACAATGCATATGGAATCCCGTTAATTGGTGTCACAGGACCTTTTGTTGTTGAGTATTTTATATAGTCTAAGTGTTAAGTTTAGCAAATATAGATATCATGATAACACAACTTTCAAAAGTGTTACAAAGGCAGTGCTTATATCACCTTTCCCCGTCATGCATGTCTGTTGATAGATTTAGGGTCCTTGAACAATTTAGATTACTAGAGGGTGAAGTATCACTCAGAGCTTCCGAGCAGTCATTGCCTCCATGCAGTGGTACTGTAGACAGACGAGACTCTTTCCCTGTATAGGAAACAACCCCAAGTCATTGCCGTGAAAGATAAGTAATTAAGACTAACTAAGAGCCTTTGATGTCAACAAATGTGTCTTGTTTTATTTTAATTTTCATTATCTACTTATCTCTATTTTTTTGCTTGGTGTCAGTACAAAAAGGGTCTTCCAACATAAACGACAATAGGCAGACAACATATTTTACTGAGAATAAGGCAGTTCTAAAAATGTTGCTTGGAAGCAACAATTCCATATGCACTTATGTTGATGTAGTTTGAATGTTTTGTTATGTCAATTTTGTTGAACTTTGAGTCCAGCAGATAGTACACACATTTTGGCTGCAGATTGACGTAGGCTATTCTGAGAATGAAATACTTTCATGGACAAAACCTTTACAAGCAATCTCATTAAAATCAGATCTTAGTTATCGCTACCGCTAAACAAAGATCTGAGGACATCCCATTACGGATAACGTCAGACCGACCTTGCGCGAACTTTGACCGAGCAATGGAATGATCCGCACAGTGAATTTCATTACCAACAATCCGATATACACATTAATGAGTCCCACTTACCGGACAGCGACCATGTTTGACGATGTTTGTTTTACAAATCATCAGGCGGCATCACGCATCAACGGGGCGTGTATCACGTGTTTACAGTGTTACATATTCCATAACCATCTCACACCAACTCAACGTTATTAACAGCCATCACGATCAGATTACCGCTATTGAGGCCTTGAAACGAACTTTAGTTGACAGCGAATTGATTCACATGTCACAAATGCCATACTTTGGCTCTTTAAAGTCATGTATTTTTGTTGTAGTGTGACTATCCCTTGAAAACATATTGTTTTTGCGATCGAAAAAGCAATTCCGTGACTGGTCAAATTTTCAATACGTAAAAATTCGCTATAAGCTGTACCAAAGTACGAAGCTTATGGTTAACATTATTTTAAATATATATAGTAAAAGCTGCTAAAATAACAACATCTTTGAATATATCACTACTGATATTATACGTTTAATATACAAGTCAAAATGATGAAATTATTGTACCAGTGATGGTGATCTTCGTCAATGTCACCTTTGAAGCAATTATTCCATATCCTTGCTCGTAAATGTAGTTTGGTTGGTTTTTGATGTCAATATTGTCGAACTTTGAGCCAAACATATAATATATAGATGCTGGCTTCAGATTGACATATGTATCGGTTTCATATTGACACCCAGTACTATTAGAGCCATGTGTGGAATTTCTCAGTCTATGGTCTGCATCGGTCATCCCGATGAAGCACTTTAGAAGTTCGGGTTTGTCAGCAACTGTAAATTGAGTGAATCATAGTCATATACATGTTCAACTGCCTTCAAAATATAATAAACTGCCATCGGCCGAGCTTCCCTTTTATTCGTTATCGCATCTTGAAGACACATTTTACAAATGAATTGTGAAAGCACAACTATATTTCAGAATATAATAATTGAAGGCAAAAATTACAATCCTTGATACAACATGAATTTGTTGCATTACATTGCATTTATCTTCGTATGACCAATACTCCTACAACGAAATATACATCCCCTAAATGTATTTGAAATAACAAAGCTTCCGTTGATGTTATTTTGACGCAGTCTTTTTGGTTCACGGTAACATTTGCGAAAACCCACTCACGGTCACACTTTGTGTAACTGGAACCTCCGTCTTTCTTAACAAATCCCTTCCTACAGGTACAGTTTGTTCTCAATCTTCTGTCTGAGCAGTCTCCAGGCCAACACCATTGGTTCTTCCACGAACAGGTCACTGATGAAAAGAAATGTATGTTTTATTCTTTTCCATTGTTGTCATGTTCATATAGTTTCCTGCAAAACAAGCAATTATACCCCAGAGGTGGCCTGCGTCACAACAGGTCCCAAAACTATTACTTGCAGTGAGAGTTGACTAAATTGGATCTGAGGATTAGACTCTCTGACATGGCTGATTGCGTACCATTGTTCATGTTTTCACTGGTTTCCTGATTCAGACTCAATTATTTATAGGTCGGCGTGATATAGCTGTAATATTGCTGACATTCACAATTTACTTATTATACAATAAGATCTTCATTTCATAAATATTATTTGGACTTACAAGCACAGTCAGGATGTCCGTTGGTGTGCCACCAGACGGAATGTTCAGGATCAGCTCGAGCATCAAGACATCGATCTGAAAAAGTTAGGTTCCACATATATTAGGCCATGTGATTTCTCAATGTTAATGTTGATTACCCTATATCAATATCTAAGAAAATATGCTTAGGGCACACAGGGCACTCCATCGTTAGCACTGAATCAAACAACATTAATGTCTGCAAAACGCAACATAACCAAAATAAATGTGATACAATTTCCACCTTGTCAATATTTTTATACTCTTGAAATTTAAATGTAAATATAAAAACACCAAAAACACATCCTATCGTCTGCACGTGCATCAATTGTGGAATAATACATATAAAGTTACAACATAAACCATAAATAGTGATCACTTGGTAAATTGTAGATTAAAGTGTTGTACTCATATTCTGTCGGCATTATTAATTAATCTTATAAATCTGGAGATATTTTTCACGATTAAGCAATTATTTGAGGTTAACAAAACTTTGAACTTTGCGAGATTCGGCCATTTACAAAGATAAATTGGAATATAATGTGATCTCATGGTATCAAAAAAGGAGCATTTAAAAAAATAATGAAACCCGTCGGCTATCGCCGGTGAGCTACAATGTACATAGGTTAAAATTTCTATTGATTCTGGGTATATTTTTCCAGCGGCCTGTCTCTACAGGTAAATAATGATTCGATGTCCGAAATGACATAATAGATCGAGAGAAATAATCAGGTAGCAGGAGGTATTTTTCAAACGACGGTGGATCTTTGAACAATTTATAGTAATTACCTTTTGAACTTTTATCTATATGATCCCTCCATTGTTGTATAAAATGATCTTTAAGTACTGTTTCTACCATAGAGGCAAGCCACTGTTTACCAACGCAACCAGGATTATCAAATACATAGGCCAAGCCACAACTGTTTAAAATACTATTTATGTGAGATATCCATACGTTACTATTACTAACATTGAGGGTGTGATCTAATTTGAACAGTTTAAGGATGCGTGATGACAACTTGAAAGGAGAAGATATGGTTTCTAAATTATACCAAAATACGATAATTCTTTTAGCAATTGTAATGTTCACAGGAAAACGTCCAAGTTCACCGTAAACCATAAAGTTAGGAGTTTATGATCGCAACCCAGTAGCAAACTTTAGAAATTTAAGGTGAAATTTTTCAATGTTTATAACAATTTTACAACCCCATACTTCACATCCATACAAGGCTGTAGGTAGTATTAGGATATCAAACAATTGGATTACAGTATCAAGTGCTAGATTAAGGTTTCTTGATTTTTCCAGGAGTGCAAACATGGCCTTTTGAGAGCTGGACGGTAAATCGTTTATTGCGGTATTAAATCTCCTATTGCGATGGAAGTTGATACCTAGATACGTATAATTATCTACAATTTCAATTGGTTTAGAATCAAATTGAAAAGATGATTTAGATTTTTTACCTACGCCTCCTCCAAATATGATAATCTTAGTTTTGGCAATGTTTCCACACATCGCAGTATTTTTTAACATATCAAGATAATTTTGGAGATCTTTCTGTTATTCACCTAAAAGTATCGCATCATCTTCGTACAACAAAATAAAGTATTTAATACACATATACTCATAATCATCATGAACACAATTGATGTCAACGCCCCTACAAACTTTGCTCTCAAGATATACATCTAAATCATTGAGAAAAATCGAAAATAATAATGGAGAGAGATTTTCTCCTTGTCGAACCCCGGAATAACTATAAAAGAAGTTAGAAAATTGGTTATCAACAATAACGCAAGATTTTATATTACTGTACATGTTTTTCACTAACTTGAGGAATCTCCCCTCTATGTTGTATGATAACATCTTGTACCATAGGCCTACTCTCCAAATACTGTCGAAAGCTTTTGTGAAATCGATAAAAGCACAAACAAGTTTTAGTTTTGATTTTTTGAAATACTGATTTAGCATATTTAAGATGAATATATTATCAAGTGTTGACATATTTTCTCGAAAGCCAGCCTGTGATGGACTAAGAATTTCATTTGATTCTAAGTAACTATTTAATCTGGAATTCAAAAGACAAGTGAATATCTTTCCTAAACAGCTCAGAATGGTAATGGGCCTGTAAGAGTTCGGGTCAAGAGAGTCGCCTTTTTTCTTATATATTGGGCGAATCCCTCCCGTCCACCAAGAGTCAGGGATAACACCAGTGGATAAAATCAAATTAAAAAACGAAACGTAAAAGTCACTCAGAATATCAATTGAATCAATCGAATAATCATTTTCTATTAAGTCAAGGCCTGAGGATTTATTACGCTTCAGTCGCGAGATAGCTGAGCGTATTTCTTCCAAAGTAATATCTCTGTTGAGAGTCGAGTTATCACATGAACAGGGGTTGAGATCTTCTTCATATGACATCATTGTCGCCGAGGTATGAGTCATTGATCGATTTGAAAAAAAATATGAAATACTTCTATGTTCGGTGTTAGTGAATTATTATCATTCACCTGTGAATTAAGTGTTTTCCAGAACTCTTTGGGCGAGTGTTTAAATTTATTACGTAACATTGTACTTGTTTCATATTTATGATCCCTTATATGCTTATTTAAGCATTTCTTATACAACTGCCCATGATGGCGATACATTGAATAATTTACTTGATTACGAACTTTTTTGAAACGACGTTTCGATTTACGGTTAAGCCGTCTAATGTCCCGACATTCCTTACTGAACCAGGGCTTATTCGTCTTGACGCGCTTACGTGTTTTACAGGGAGATGTAGTTCGTTTGACTCCGAAGGTAGTCCGTGCGGCATCGACCAGCACGTGCGTTATGTCCTCAGCTAACCTATTGAACTCAGTATCAACATCAACATCAACACTGTCATAACAAACAGCATCACTTCTATCTCGCAACTGCCTTATAACTTCTACGTCAATGTTATTTCGGAATACACTAGCCCTATCAATATTGTAGCGTCTAGGCCTGTTTCCGGTATCAGTTTTTGAAGAATTTAAAGTCTCAGAGACAGATTCATCTCTCTTTTTAACCTTACTCGCCAGCGATAGGGTAACAGGGCAGTGTACATCTGATAGCACAGGTGAGAAATCAAGAACATCAAAGTCATTAATCAAAGGCATACAAGCAGCAGAGACAATGACGTAATCAATTAAACTCTTATCATTACAGGTGGTTCTTCCAATATTGAGATTATTATTTACCATAATTGTTAATTTTACCCATGTCCATACTATGCCTATGTTTTGGCATACCAACGTTTTCCAATACTACATCTGGATCAGGGTCATTACTAATTTCATCACAGTCTAAACCAAATTCCTCTAAAACAAAATGATCAATAACAGTATAATCATTCACAGTTGAATTTCTCGCATTAAAGTCACCGAGTAACATGACATAATCTGTGCGCGTCAGGGCCTGCAAACCCGACTGTTCTACCGGATAAAACACATCATCTGGAGCATATTTCGATCCTTCAGGTGGGATATAAACTACCCCAGGTTCCATATCCTGTGGGATGTTGAGCAGAGTCTTTGAGATTCTGAACCAGAGAATGTTGTCATGTTCAGCGTGTAATAACGTTATATATTGTACACCAGTATTTCTTACTGCAAGCGCAATGCCACCAGAACGTATCTTTGCTTTAGAACGATGTTGCGGAAATATTTTATAACCATTCAACCTAAAGTCATCAAATGAGTCAGTTTTTGTTTCCTGAAAACATAAAATATCATTATTTTCAATTAAATCAATAAACTTGGGGTACTCGAGTCTTTTTCGTAAACCACAACAATTCAAACTAACTAAACGTACACCTTCCTGAGATAACGTATTAAAGTCATTTTGATCATTTATTACACTCTCACTATGTGAGCTGGAGTCAGAGTCAGAGTCAGAGTCAGAGTCAGGGTGTGCGGTGTCCTGTCCACCGGCGTGTCCCTATTGCTCGTTGTCCTGTGTGCGGCTGTTCGTGGGGGCTCTATATGGGGGAGGCACGGGCACGGGCTGGAGACGGTTATCAACGTAGAGCTTATCTACAACGATGTGAGCTCTCTTTTTCTCAGCTCTTGCAACTTTCATCAGGGGCATAAGAACATTTCTCCTATAATCTGAGACTTCCCCCGGGAACTGTTCTGAGATAACATATGGTGTACCGGCCAACATTTACCGCATCTCTTCACTGCGTCTCGTTCCTTTGTAACCAAGAATTTGGCGATAATCGGCCGAGGTTTGACTTCACCCGTGTATTCAGGGGTACGTCTCCTACCTATTCTATGAACTCGCTTAAACTCTAAGTTCTCACTGTAAAATTGAAGCTGTCTTTCAATAAAGTCTCTCAGAACCTTCTCTGTGTCCTCAATTTCAAAGCGTTGATCATTTTGCCCTCGTACCGGGGGTGGACTTTCAGGGATATTGGAAAAGATCAGGTTATCGCGCATCGATCGGCACTGTTGATCGATAAGGGATTCTTTCAAAGAAAGATTAATAATAAATTATGTAATTTCAGATCACCTAGAGCACTGGTCTTTTCTTTAAATACAGAGATGGCACTCTTCATGTTTTCAATGTCAACCTTCCACTCGTCGAATGTATCGCTTATGTATACTAGCCACATAAAGAAACTGTGCAAGGAGAAAATATAGATATAAGGGAACACCGTCCATATATGAAATATAGGTTTGAACACAGCAATTATTTGAGACATTCAAACGCTCATGCACGTGCCATGCGATATGACGTCATTGATTGGGGCCTATGGGCGTGCAATGTGTTACTGCACGTGCATCCTGTGCAGCTGTACACAGCATGTGCAACTCAAAATTCGCTGTCACTTTGGAAAGCATGATCTGTGGTCATTCAAAAATTCAAAACTTCTTAGGCGCAGACACAAGCATATCACAAGCAAATCATGCCAAGATTGACAACTGCACAGCGTCATGAAGCCATTGGAATGATCCGAGCGGGAACGAGGCAACAACAGGTGGCAACACATTTCAAATGGTGAGGCGTTATCATAACACAAATGACGTTGCCGACCACCCACGTTCAGGACGTTCCCGAGTAACGACGCCAAGACAGGACAGATGGATTCGAGTTACACATCTCCGACACAGGTTCCAAACGGCAGTAACGACGTCCCAGACAATTCCTGGACTGCGCCGTATCCATCCCAACACTGTCAGGAATCGTTTACGTCAGTACGGGATTCGACCACGACGCCCTGCCATACGTCCCATCCTGACACACCGTCATCGAGTCAACCGTCTAAGATGGTGTCGAAATCATGTTCGCCAACCTCGAATATGGTGTAGAAATGTTGTCTTTACAGATGAATCGAGGTTCAACATTCCCACAGTGACGGGCGCCAACGTGTCTACCGGCGTTTGGGAGAACGTTATGCACGCAACTGTATTGTGGAGAGGAATCGTTTTGGAGGTGGCTCTGTGATGATTTGGGGTGGGATAACAGCACGGCACCGAACCCCTTTGGTGGTTGTTCAGGGCAATCTCACCGGTGTTGGCTACAGAGATCAGATTCTGAGGCCTGTGGTCATTCCTTTCCTGCAACGTCATGGCCTGGGATTGACATTTCAACAGGACAACGCTCGTCCTCACACGGCTAGGGTCGCAATGGATTTACTTCACCATAACAATGTCATGTTACTACCATGGCCTGCAAATTCTCCAGATCTCTTCCCAATAGAGCATGTGTGGGATGAAATGGAGCGCCGTCTGCGTCGTCTTCCACATCCTCCAGATAACGTCCGTGACTTGGCACAGGATTTGAGGAGGATATGGCAGACCATTCCCCAGGCCTTCCATGCCCATTTGGTGGACTCCATGCGTCGCCGATGCACTGCTGTGATTCACTCACAGGGTGGTCATACCCGTTATTGACTTTGTGACTTTGTCGTTTGACCCCTACTCCATTTTGATCTTCTGGCGTCATCGTAACAGATGTTGTTCAGGTCCCGTTGACATTTTCTTATGGTCCGATCATTCAGCTGCTACAGCGTCTACATCATTTTGTTCTTGCTGTGTTGTATTTCAATCCGAATATATTTTTTCCGTGCACAGTTTCCTTATGTGGCTAGTATACTTTGTACTAGCTTCTAGACCCCTCACGTCATCTTGCAACTTATCCAAAGCTTGAACTTTAAGTTCGAGCCTTGCAACATCTGTCTTGATGCCATCAATATTCTTTTCAATAATATCAAGTCGTGACACATGCTTTTCGATATTTAACCGTTTTTCAACTATAATGTCATTTGAAGGGGGGGGGGGGGGGGGGACGTGCGGTGTATGTGACGGTGACTTCATGTACATGTAGCCCACCTGTGGGTAGCCTCCGCCCACACGCGTGGAGTTATCCACGTGTGTGTGGAGGACACCTTGCGTTGGCGTGGAGGTCACATTTTCTTGCGCAATATTTTGTTGCATGGCGGATGATATAACATCATGTGTTTGATCAGATGGTGTAGAAAAAACAGACCTGACAGTGTCCAGTGACTCTCTTATCACACTACCTGTGTCGGACGACATCGGAGGTGAAGTGGATGACGCCATGTTTGTTTTTAAGTGTGTTAAGATACTTGCCCTTTCTTCTTGCTTGGTCGCTGTCTTAGCATGGTTTTAAGACAATGGGATCATGTAAATCCGCCTCTCGCCTTATTTTGAGTAAAGTGAGTTCAAATTAAACCATAACTCAGGAAAAAGACGAGAGCTGATGTAGACATGTCCTGTCTCCCAAGTGATCACGTGTCATCCATAAGAAAATCGTCTACATGCAGCTCATCTCCATGATCGACTGCCACGTGTTGAGTCGCCCTTTACAAATCTTCATAGTAATCACAAACGTCAATGGTGTACACAACGTTAAAACTGGGGAAAACGTCGCTGGTCACGTCTCATATTTTCAGATGAGTCCCGATTCACTTGGTACTTCCTTGATTGGCGCGTGCGTGTCTGGCGACGTCGAAGAGAACGCCAAGCCAATGTCAGCCGCAGACCTGATGATAGATTAGGCGGTGGATCGCTTATGGTGTGGGGTAGCATCACAATGACTGAGCGAACCACACTCCACATTGCATGCGCCAGGGAAGGGTCACAATACTATCGGGACAACATACTGACATCCTTTTGTTGTCCCGTATGATGGTCGAAGTTTTGACATTTAGGACTACAACGCCCGTGCTCACTGCATGAATCGCCAATCCTCAAAACATCTGACCCTTATCGTCCTTCAAAATCTTCGGCAGTCACTACATCTATTGTGTCATACCTCTCTACCGGTGTAATGTGTTCCCAATTTGTTCATTATTAGCCCACAACTGATGCGAGAAACTTATATCTCTTAGAATTTTGGAAAATGTAAGACATTAGTTATTTTCGCATATCTTCTAGTGTTTCTATCTCATTGAAGTCGGTGATTTGCACTGGCCGAAGAAGTAACATTTCCAAGTTGGCAAGAACATCAAAACACTCATCCTTCCAAAACTGTGGAGTGAAAATCTATGCTTTGGTTGGGTGGTTTGTTGTTTAACGCCGCACTCAGCAATATTCCAGCTGTATGACGGCGGTCCACGCAATTGGGATCGGTGACATGCGTCAACCAAGTCGGCGAGCCTGACCACTCGATCCCGTTAGTCGCCTCTTACGACAAGCATAGTCTATGCAAAGCATTGGAAATGTATGGAAAGTATTTGAAAGCATTGGAAATACAAGACCTATTTATTAATCTTTAGAAGGAAATAGATTGTTTAGTTTCAATGGACTTGGGAACATAGGCATGCTACGTATTGGCAACGTGATCTATTTTATTTGCTTATTGTAGATTGCACATACAACCACGAGGAATGGACAGATACTAGTGATGGTGTCATCTGTTACACCTAGGCCCAAAAGTAGGATTATTAACGCATTCATCAACCCATTAAGGCTGTTTGTGGTTATGTTGCGAATATCAACTTTCGGAAATTGACTAAATATATCTAGGAGAGTGATATTAATAATATTCTTAGAAACTGTTTCATTGTCCAACTGAAAGTGCTGAAATCACACGCTCCGTACTCGACTTCCAAAACAAACCTATTTGGGGACGTGGCCTAAAGCTACCGGCGCAGCGGTGACGACTGTTCTCAATGGCTATTAGGTTCGGGGGGGTTGTCTTTTTTGAGATTCTCATCCGTTATACATATACTGTGTCTGCTATTTCTGTTAATTCAGCAAAAACAATACCATTGCATACTTTGTTCAATGTGTGAAACGACATTTGATCTTGACATTGAGAATAATTAAAATAACAATTACCAATCGGTAACTAGTGTTTTATTACTAACATCCTGTTTGGGTAATAAAACACCAGCTGTCCTCAGCCCTATTCCACACAATAAATGCCTATCAGGGATTAATCTCCCCTTAGTAAACAACTGAAGTTATCTTCAGTGTTGTTACTAAGGTGACATAAGTTGTGGATACGGTAATGAAATGGAAGAGCAGGCAGAAAAAGACGTGTATTAAACAATCCGAGACAGAAGCTGGCAGACTGGACGTCGGCCCTATCGCCAGGATCGTTGAATTTGCGCCGCGCGTCAAACAGCTGCAAACCATTATTACCTTCAGAAAGGGGGATTCCCCTACTGGGGGATTTTTTCATTTGGGGGACGATTTCGAGTGTCGTTTTGATTGTCTTTTTTTACACTATTTCCGATTTTCAAATTTAATTTTGGTCAAGCATTTGTGATTTAGTATACCCTAAAGTATTCAAATCTGCAAAGTTGCTATATTGACTTTACTTGCCCTTCAAAGAAATTCAGTAATACATAGCTAACGGCTACAGTGATGAACACTTTCTCTGACGCACCAAAACATTGTTTTAACGCACCATTCTAAAACATTCCACAACACTCCAAACCATTTCTAAACATTTGAAATATCTTCTTTCCAACGTTTGAAAATATAGTATGCCGTATTTACACTGTTTGGATAGAGAGCTGTTTCTTCCTGTGAGGATTTTCTCAGTGAATACATAACACTTCCTGACCTGACCCTAACCACATTGAATGCTGGTGTTCATGTATAAAATGTATAAAACATATATTTAGTGTATCCGGTGTGAAACAGAATTGTGTATCCATAACGCTCAAAGAAAACCTGTCCCTGCTTAATGAACACTATTAATAGTAAATACATTCGAACGTGTGATTGAAGTCTGATGCTCACCACATTGTGATCCAGTATATCCAGTGTAACAGGAACACTTGTCTGGTCCAACACAGCTTCCTTTCTGGTTACAGGCTCCATGAGTGTTGTCCTTGCCGTAACAGATGGCTGGAGAAAACAATATTATGTAATGATGTTTCAAAAAACCCAAAATGGAATGCTGGCAGTTTGCGGACACCTTGACATACAAATAAACAGAAGATATCATGTCAACGTTTTGCATGATTAAATGTAGATAAATTGTCACCTTTCTGTGTTATATAATAGGAAGAAATATTGCCGTCCCTGCTATCTGTGACCATTCTGCGTTGTAATTTTAACTACACTATAAACTTACTGCGACGGGATCTGATCAAAGACTAAATCGCTAACCAATACATAACATGTAGAGATCGAACCTAAACATGTCAGTGAAACAAGTTCAACTGTCTTTTATATTATTTTGCAATAAAACATGAGACTTGAGACTGCTAAATTGCATTATGCAGTGATTTGTACTTCTGTTTACCCATTCCCCAAATATTCTTATACTGATGAATAAGAAGACACTAGTCCAAACAAAACGGGTATGTACTTATAAAATTGGGTATAGCTTATCAGGATTTAGCAAGTATTTAGGATTTAGTAACTGTTACTGTTTAACACCTGTGCTGCAATCTCTGCTGTTGGTAGACTTCCACCCTGGACAGCACGCATACACAAATGTTGAGTGGTAGATGTTCCTGCAAATTCACAATTGAAATGCCTATACAGCATAGTATATGCATTTTGTATGTACACGTTTTGATATATGATTATATATTGTGATTAAGATATATGCCGTGAGTGTCAAAGTATTTTCATATAAAGAACAAGCAAAGTGCAGGCCACGGCAACCATATAGAGCAGGGGAGTATATGATGAGAAGTATTTCACCACTGATAACAATGAACACTTTTACAAATAACGATCTGTGGAAATGTACGTCATAATGTCATAATGTACGTACTTTGTTCGATATTTACTGCATCTTCCCCAACCCCATGTTTTACACTTTTCCGTGTATTTCTCACTTGTCGTTGTCTTGCTTGTTTCGGTGTGTCTGCAGACATTCATGCTGAAATAGATAACAAGTGCATCGATTTAAGTATATCTTTCCAAATGAAACTATAGAATCGCCTTTATGTAATTATGACAGTTTAATAATCTTTGTTATCACACAATGCCTAATCATAACGTTTGAAGGTGCTCGGTAAGATAAGACTTACAAGAAGCTACATAGATACGTTCGTAGTTGTAAAAGATCACAACACAATTATTAAATACATATTCATGTTGGAACTTATATCACCACAAACAAATACACATTGTCACAAATATATTTACGTTTCTCACACATGTATTGATGTATATATACTTTAAAAGGGGGCGGTCGGGTAGCCTAGTGGTAAAAGCGTTCGCTCTCCACACCGAAGACCCGGGTTCGATTTCCGACATGGGTACAATGTGTGAAGCCCATTTCCGGTGTCCCCCGCCGCCATATTGCGGGAATATATTGCTTAAAGCAGCGTAAAATCAAACTCACTTATTCACTATAAAAGGCAATTGGATATCATACCCATTACTATAGAGACCTTCTGCACATGAGTAAATTAAGATGGTTAAAAACGCAAGGCATGTCCAAGGTCTCATCACTGACAATGCTGAAGTCACTGCAAGAAGTGATAACCAATAATTATTCATAAGGTTACCATTCAACATGTATGCTGATATACATATATTCATATCAAATAAATCGTTGAAAACTTTAAAGTTGATTAAATGATAGAAGGGTATGGAAAATGAAACTGTACGTTTTACTGTACTAAAGACAGTTACCTTTTGGTAATATCGACAAAATAATTTTATTGCGTTCAAAAGAATAGAAAAATCAGCAAGTTTTGTCACCTGGCGATACTCGTCCATAAAGATTGGCTTTTCCTTGTCCTGAACACGAACGTCCCCCGCACAAAGACTATAACTCGTTAAGTAGTATCGGCTGCCGAACTACACCTCTACCAACCATAAAGGTAAGGTCATATTTAAAGTCATATGTAAATGAATGTCAAGGACGAAGATATTATGAACGAATTACAAGCACAAGGCTGATCACCACAGAGGGGTATATTTAAAGCGCATGGCATTATCATTTCGCTTGGGAGGGAGTGATTAGTACTTATGTTCCATTATCATTCTTGGAGCTATTCGCGGCAAACTGACCGGGGAGTTAATATGGACACTCTCTGTGCGTAGTATTCAAATATCTGACTACACTATCTCGCTCTACAATGGAACATAATACGTCTGGCCCTGACTATATCTGGTCTCTTAAATAAACAAATGTTTGAGTTGATCATGTGCGAAAACCAAGACAATAGCATTCTATTAGCTGCTTCTGTCGCGAAGCACAAGTAGACATTTACTGTAAAAATACACTATTTTTTTCGAACAGAACCTATAGAGCATTTCAAAGGGAACTGACCGGTGAACTGACAGATTTGAGTTAGCATAAACTCCACAAACTTTCGTGTATTGTCTCACATCTATTAACCAGGACTGTTTCAGGAGGTTATAATGTAAACTATTTGTCAATTAAATGTAGTTCCTGGTGGACAGGGTTGGTAATTATGATACTGTTACCAATTAGCAGTATTAAAATCACAATTCTTGTTACCTGATCAATGAAATACAAGTCTCTTTTATGTGATAAATACCATACTATTAGTCGTTATGTGTTGCTCCAATATATAAGTAAACTAATTAATAATTTTACAAGTATAATCCATTTTTGGATTAATTTTATATCACCTCAGAATGCCAAATTCGGTGGAAAGAATTGAGAAGTCCTTTGATTTATGAATTCGCCACACTATTATATTTCTATTTAATTCTGAAACTACTTTGGTTAATTATGATTTTTTTTATTAAGATTTGATATGTTTTCTGTCACAGGGTCCATTGAACACAGCATTGCAAATATACGTTGATCCGGAAAGACATATTTTGTTTGAATAATTAAGAAGTCACAGGTTACATTGCATCAACTTAATACTTGGAAAGATTTGAATAAAACCACAATACCAGTGGTACATGACATCGTATTCCATCACATCGAAGCATCAATTTCACATTGAGCTTCTTTGCATCACAATAAAACAGATTGAATTGATTAAATTTTGCAAACTATTTATAGTACTTGAGGTTATATAGTTTCAGGGTGTAACTGCAAATGAACAAAACATACCTCAGATTCAGAATGCAAACTTGACGAACTACAGCATGGAAAGTGACTACATCACATAAAATATCGTTATTTCTTATGCAAGATTTTTCATTTTGATGTATGTTTACAAATTTATGTCATCATCGTGTAGATGATCTGTCTGAATTAAGTTGAAACCCCATTCTGTTTCTAATCATATGCACAGAAATATGCATTAACAAGGAGAAACAAATTCGAGCAGATTTACGTCATGTTTATTGAGTGAAAATGTAGTATCACGTGACAGTTATCTACACCTCGACTGACAGTTATAGGTCTGGATATTTTTTTTATGTCCCACCGTCATGGTTGCAACTGGCACTGCCTATTTTTAGGGCGAGTTCCCTGAATACCTATGTGTGTCGCGTTGGTGACAAAATAACTTTAACGTGACAATACAATATTTATCAATGATATTTTACCTCTAAAATAACTGTAACTTTTTCTTTAGCCCAATACACAATAACTACCAAATTTCTATATTCCGTTCAATTGAAAATTAAAGCTTGGATAGACAAGAAGCTCTCTTTCAACTCATCCATTAAAGCAATATTAATGTACCGTCAAATCCAAACAAAGGAATTTTCAGATAGAATTAGCATAATTCAAATTTAAAAACTTAGAGTGTAAAGCTAATTCAGTTTTACGGTAATCGCATATCCTGAGCACTACAAGTAGCACAATATATATTGTGATCGACTCTTAGATGGCGTGAGGAGTGTTTGATAGGCCATTGTGTGTCATGCTGTGGTCATTTATATATGTAGTGGGTCTAAACATATAGATGCATACATATTACATATTACAATATTGGGCCCGTTTTAACGCTGACTCTTTTAATCACTGGTGTCCTTAATATGTGTTCATATGTGTTCGCCTGGTTTTCCATGTGACTACTATGCCATTCCATTACCAGGCCATTAATATATGTAACAGTGTGCACTCTGGTACATTGCTCGTGGCGTAGGTCTGTTATCATAATCGTGTTTAATATGATATATCATTTCATTTGAATTTGTTTATTTTAGTCACAGTCTACTCATGTATGTACACTTCTCGAAAGCAAAATTAATATGGAATAGCATTGAAATGCTAGCAACAGAATATAGCTGGCTACCTTATAGCTAGGAAATGGACAAGTCGAAATTCATACTATCACGTATACCCAAGAATGAGCTGGGAAGCGTTGGTTGTCGCTTAACCTATGTTATCATCATACATCACATCGGATTTACAAATTAAAGTTATTCGTTACCAAAAGTAATTGTGTTTTATACCGTATGTATATCATTAATCCGAGCATAGTGTTTAGAAGCACATAGATTCCACTATGATTCCACAAAAGACATAATCATGCAACACATTTTCTCATAAATTCCATTAATTATAATTCTTCATGGGCGTATAAAAGAATGCATTGATTGGAAGCATATTAACTGCATGTACTTATTGACACATATAACAATGTAAATGTGGTCTGAGGTTCGAAATCTACGACAACCACATGATACTAGGTTTACCGTAGGCACAATATTTACCCACTACGTTTACAATCCCTCACTACATGATCATAGTCAAATGTTAAGCGCTCAGATCAATGGTAAGAACATACGAACTCTACAATAAAGCGCATTGTACTCGTGCTTGACAACTGAAGATTGTATACCCCTAGTTGTGATCTGCAATTTCTTTGGAAAGGACATGTCTTTAATATGACCTCTATATCTATGTGTGTTCGGACCTGTGTGTAAGCGACTGAGTTAACAAAGATAAGCGTCCCTAAACTTGTTTCTAGAGAATATGGTTTCCACAAAACGCAATGTTTAATGCAAGGTATTTTTGTTTTTACAAAACCAGCACCCTTTATAATTGCTTGAGATTATGTATTCGTAACTGTACGTGGATATTATTTTTATTCTCAAAACATTATGATGATACTGATCTAGTGACAGAATGCCCCAACTGTGAACTTAATTCTCTCTTTTGCCATCTTATTTTCATGAAAGATATATAATATCTACATTTAATCTTTGCAGTTAAATTCTACTGTTGGCAACGTATGGGAAACTGTTTATTCTATTGCTTTATACGTTCGTAAATGTGCCAAGGGAATGCAAATATGGTAGCCGTATTAAAACGTCAGCGCCAGAGAAGAACCAGTCTCGATTAACCACCGAATTAGATTAGTGGCAGTGAAATTTATATGAATTATTGATCACTGAAATTATTGATCACTGAAATTATTGATCACTGAAAATCAGTGATGACACCAGCTTTTCCTCTTTGCTCACTGCTGTTTGCTCATTGTTCAATTTTTGTTTGCTTATTATCGTTTGCAATTGTTTTATCTTTCTGATCACATAGTCAGGTCAGCCACAGAGCCTATGTTGTGTGTGGATTTTAACGATTTTAAAATTAGAAGGGATTTTAACGCCAACAATTTCTCATTCAAACGGAGAAGTCAAGTTTTCATAAATAGACAAACCTTACGAACTCAATTAAGAGTGCATTATTTAAATGGAGCGAGTTAATGTTGTTTTTCACGTGGGGATAGCGGGCCAGAAGTACATGTATATGCTTGTTTTAAGAGGGGACATAATGAATAGGGTGTTCAGGCTCTGTGACTTAATTGATTGCGTATAATCGTATCCCGACGTCCGACGTTTGTATGTTCCAGAATGGAATATTGACGGCAGCGGCGCCACCTCAAACAAACAAAACCAGTGTTGTGAAGCGCCACATTCAGCAATCTTCGCAATCTATATCACGGTTGTCTGTGACCAATCATGTCTGGGTCAGGTACATATAAGTCAGTGTGAAGGGTATCACATTATTATCAAATATTTATATCCTCGCGAACTGTGTTTTTGAGCACCAAGAAACTAATTCTGATTACGTGTCTAATAACAATCCCAAATACACTAAATTTATTTCTGTTCACGCTTGGAAGGTCAAATGGCAAACACTTTGATGTATTTTGTTAGATGATTTTGAAGCATCTAATTGATTACATCTTTGAGCGCGCGGTCACGTATTGTTTTGGGGCTCGAAAAGAGGTGAGGCTTGAACACATAATATATGTATTATTCAAGCACTGTGACTATGTCGGCGAAGCACAGTTAAACCCAACTTCCTCACTCACTCACTGTGTCAGCGTGTCCGACATTACGAACAAACATTGAGTTGATGTTGATCCCGAGTTCTGTGGGAGATTGTTTTAAACTTTATGCGTGTGCCTTTGCAGTTATGCCGATCCCCGCGTAATAAAGGAAGTCTGATGAGTACATAGTCTCTTTTGATGTTTCATTTACCAGTGATTCAGTGTGTGGGTATAATGAACAACCATGCTGAAGTTCTACTCCAGTATAAAAGCCATGACTACCTTTGTAATTAATTAGTTTGCACAGATGCGCTGTTACAAACAACTGAAAAACTGACAAAAATATTGAAGTGAGGTTTGATTCAAAGGAGTTCATTGGTGCACTCTTTATATATTACTTGTGGGACGAACAGGACGATAGGCATGCACTTGAAGGGTGTGATATACCATTGCGGGGGGTGGGGAAGTGGGGAATCTAAAATGCTGAAATTCGCGTTGCAGAGTTGCATCACTTAGGCGTGCCAGAAACCTATGATGGTGGGTGTGAGTCCCGATTATGTGTCTGGGTGTGTATAACCATGGGTTTCACCAAAGCGGTAAACGTCTAATACCTGCATCACTTCGGGCTTTGTGCCTGCGTTAACTACCAAACTAAATGTTTGGGCCGCCATACTGAAACTGCACCCACTGTGTTGCAGATTTGACTTTGCATCGTTTAAATAGCCCTACGGGAAGTCATAGTTTTTAATGAATTCAATCAATTTAATTGCCAAATCATACCAAAAAAAATCTGTTGTATCACTTTCCCGTCAAACAAGAAATATAATCTATGTGGGTTGATGTTCGTAAAACACAACACAAATTATCAAATCAAATCTGGCATTAATAACGACGAATCCCTATTGTTTATTGAAAGTGCGAATCCTGGAAATAGAAGACGTTTGGATCAGGGAGCCTGACACTGCCATACAATATGGCTGCAATGACAAATTTAAAAGAGTTGATAACTTGTCTAGTCCCCGTACTTCACAAACTAACGTGATGAATTTGTTTTCATCATCTTCCAGAAGACGCCGAAGTCATGGCCAAGGGGAAGGGTAGCAAATCAGATGCTGTTTGAAATGAAGTGGTTGATTTGCTACCTCTTTGAGCAAAAAACCTGATTGGTCACTATGAAATCATTACCTATGTTTTGCCCTTACACTTCAGGAAATACAGACGCTCCAAAATGAAAATATAAAAATTGGAAAAACGGATTCTGGGACCAAAAAATATCGACTTCAGTCAATTATGATGGGTGTGGTTAAAAAAGATGATTATTGAATTGATGATTATGTTAAGGTGTTTATACATTTGAAACTTGCCATCAACGCATTTGGTTTAATTAATTTTGTCAATAACTTCAGAAATCATAGCGACAAAACCCTTTCCATATTCACAAGAAATTGTACGATTCCGACATTATCATGAGCACGTGTTCTATGACTCACTATCAAATAGTGATCACACCAGGTGCTCGTGAAAAGGTGGGCGTATCTTGTCCCTTCGGTGGCACCCGTCATAAACACATGCTAGGGCAAGTCAATTGTTGACCTGAAAAAAACCCACGGGAATGTAATATGGTACAAGTGAAAATAGGAAAATGCATGTTTATAACTGATGCGTCAAATTTGAAATGTCATCAACATGTCTAGCATCAAACAACTAAACAAGACGTTTAAACCAAAGCAGCGTTAAACTCTCACTTTATTGAAGACTGAGCGGTAGTAAAAGAACGAAAATATAGTTTTTTTTATCCAAATATCTGAAAATAATGGAATGGCTCATCCGTAAATATCGTAAACAACATAAAAACACATTTGACAGCAGATGCCACTATTTATTTGCTAAACATTAAAGGTAAATCATTGTTTATGGTAAGACAAAAACATGATTTGTGTAGAAGAAAGCTTAGAGAGGTCGTAACACTCTCGCATTATACTAAGTAATGATCAGCTACAATCCAAACATGAGTTTCCGCTCATCACAAGGTTATGCTAAGAACACATTAAACAAAAATTAAATAGGTATTCATAAATCAATCTCAACCACACACTGAAATATCTTAAGTGCACACGTGAGGGTGAAAATAGGTGTCACTCATGGGACATGTAGAGTCCATGTTTGTCAGTTCACATCTTCTTTATCCAGTCCAGTTCCCACTCCTTCATGGCCTTCTTCACCTTGTTCCTGCTCCTGCTCCTTTCCAGACTCCTCTTTCTCCTGTGATGGGGGATGTCATGGATGCTGAACCCAGCCACAGCAAACCGACTCCACTTGGGGCAGGCCGTCCCCGACCAGTACTCCAGCTTCCTCTGCAGGGCGGACACGACGTTGTCCTGGTCCACCGTGTCCGTCAGATGGAACTCCACCTCTGTCACGTCCCTGTTGTAGATCATCAGGATCTGGAACATTACATATTTGTGTGAAACATTGGTTTGGTACTTTTGCATAGACAAATATATTCTTTTACATTGACATTCGTTGTTTTTTTTTACACTAAACGTGACATTCAGATATTCATGTCATGATCAGGCTGCCGTTGTGCAAAAAACCTTAGGGCTTCGACTGTGGTAAGGTATGGGAGTTATGATCACCTTAGCGCTAAGATCACTTTGTACAACGGCACCCTGGTCTGTTGCTACAAGATAGATTGCATCAGTCAATATTTAACTGTTTTGATCTTATACGTCATACACGGCATGGGATCATAAAGGTTAAATGTACATGTCATTATTGATTGATTTACGTGATATTACAATGTTTATTTATCAATAGGATCTGAAACACATAAACCGTTTATGCAGTATGCAAGTGGTAACTACTCAGGGGTGTATTTTGATTCTGAATGTTCTCAAAACGTTTGGAGAAGAAACGATAACATCTTCGAACGGACAGAACAGTCTACACATATACCTTAATAACATCTCTCATGGCGGCCATGTCTGTCTCCGACTCTATGTACACCTTCACAACACCAGAAATTTGTCTAGCAAACTCTTGTTCTATCAGAGTTATCAGTGGTGATGGGTTGTTGTCGCCACTGTACAACATTTCTTCTCTGCTCTGTTTAGGGTCAGGTTGGTACTTGGAGTTCAACAGAGGCACTGGAAATACAAGTTCTTATTTTACGAATCTCAAACAATGCTGTGTCAGTGTCACATTTAAAGTTGCATTGCGACATGACAGTTGGTGTAATACAACAAAACCACGCTCCTCAAACATCCATTAGTGGCAACAGTGATTATTTAAGCTACAATGAACGCGCTTTGTGGAAATGTTGCAGAAATAGTTTAGTTCTTACTTATGAGTGAGTATATTTGTGTGTTCTCAACACACACTGCATCATCATGACACGCCAGAGAGTGAACGCTGGACTCGGCATTGTCGGTGTTGAAGAAGGCAGCCTTGTTAACCACGTTACTGAACTGGTTATTGGCAAGAGTCAGGTACGTATGGACCATTCCCACACATCCCAACACCTTCTTGTCCCACGTTGGTCCTGGGAACATGCAATGTTTTAATTAACAGCAACAGCTTATAGTCCAAGCATCAGTATCAGTGTCAATAGTAAAATCATCAGAATATGTACCCAATCAAGTCTTTGAAAGGCATTAAGAGGTGACACACATAAGAAAACGAATTCATGGATTTCATTTTCTGTATCATGAGGAACACAACGTTGCGGAATATATACATACTCCTTCATCAGGTGAATAATATGCTATGAGGCAGAGAACATTTATATGTTCCTGTAAGAACAACAAAAGTAATACGATAACAAGGGTGGAGAAACTTAACAAAGGAAGCCAACAGATAATTGGCGCTGATAGGGGATTAGCAATGGACAAAAGGAAGCCAACACTTAACTTACCACTGATTGGTAACAAGCAATGGATAATGCGCTAACTGGAGGCCAGGGGGATTTACCTCATGGTTACGAGAATAAGGGAGTTAATTTTAGAGCAGCGATACCTTTCCCAGGACATCCCCCACAGTTGTCCAGAACACACTCCTGTAGATCCTTCTCTATCGAACTCCTGGTCATTGTAGTCCCTGCAACTTTCATCAGGTCATCTCGGAGTGTGTTGGCCTGTTGTTGTCTGTGTTCCCTGGTGTCGCGACAGAAGGTGCTCTCCCGGTCGTGAAAACAGAACCTGATGCATGCAGTATCAGTACACTGTACCATACACCAGAATAAACTATACTAGCCACATTAAGAAACTGTGCACGGAGAAAATATAGATATAAGGGCACACCTTCCATATATATTATTGGAGACATTCAAACGCTCATGCTCGTGCCATGCGATATGACGTCATTGATGGGGGCCTATGGACGTGCAATGTGTTACTGCACGTGCATCCTGTGCAGCTGTACACAGCATGTGCAACTCAAAATTCGCTGTCACTTTGGAAAGCATGATCTGTGGTCATTTAAAAATTCAAAACTTCTCAGGCGCAGACACAAGCATATCACAAGCAAATCATGCCAAGATTGACAGCTGCACAGCGTCATGAAGCCATTGGAATGATCCGAGCGGGAATGAGGCAACAACAGGTGGCAACACATTTCCAATGCCAACTATTTCGGCATTGGTGAGGCGTTATCAGAACACAAATGACGTTGCCGACCACCCACGTTCAGGACGTCCCCGAGTAACGACGCCAAGACAGGACAGATGTATTCGAGTTACACATCTCCGACACAGGTTCCAAACGGCAGTAACGACGTCCCAGACAATTCCTGGACTGCGCCGTATCCATCCCAACACTGTCAGGAATCGTTTACGTCAGTACGGGATTCGACCACGACGCCCTGCCATACGTCCCATCCTGACACACCGTCAATGAGTCAACCGTCTAAGATCGTGTCGAAATCATGTTCGCCAACCTCGAATATGGTGGAGAAATGTTGTCTTTACAGATGAATCGAGGTTCAACATTTCCCACAGTGACGGGCGCCAACGTGTCTACCGGTGTTTGGGAGAACGTTATGCACGCAACTGTATTGTGGAGAGGAGTTGTTTTGGAGGTGGCTCTGTGATGATTTGGGGCGGGATAACAGCACGGCACCGAACCCCTTTGGTGGTTGTTCAGGGCAATCTCAGCGATGTTGGCTACAGAGATCAGATTCTGAGGCCTGTGGTCATTCCTTTCCTGCAACGTCATGGCCCGGGATTGACATTTCAACAGGACAACGCTCGTCCTCACACGGCTGGGGTCGCAATGGATTTCCTTCACCATAACAATGTCATGTTACTGCCATGGCCTGCAATTTCTCCAGATATCTCCCGTATAGAGCATGTGTGGGATGAAATGGAGCGCCGTCTGCGTCGTCTTCCACATCCTCCAGATAACGTCCGTGACCTGGCACAGGATTTGAGGAGGATATGGCAGGCCATTCCCCAGGCCTTCCATGCCAATTTGGTGGACTCCATGCGTCGCCGATGCACTGCTGTGATTCACTCACAGGGTGGTCATACCCGTTATTGACTTTGTGACTTTGTCGTTTGACCCCCTACTCCATTTTGATCTTCTGACGTCATCGTAACAGACGTTGTTAAGGTCCCGTTGACATTTTCTTATGGTCCGATCATTCAGCTGCTACAGCGTCTGCATCATTTTGTTCTTGCTGTGTTGTATTTCAATCCGAATATATTTTCTCCGTGCACAGTTTCTTTATGTGGCTAGTAAAGTATGATGGTACAATCCACTACTGAAACGTTTTATTATGCACCAATCTTACCCAACTTGATTAATCGTGCAGCATAAATATTGTTGTTGAGCACACTCCTTTCTATTTTTAACTTCTAACAAAAAAGATGAACCTCATCACACTATCCTCATGATTCGACGTTATTTTCATTCACACATTTCATTTGCAGTTTCGTGTAGTTATTCTGATTTTGGTGATACACTTGAAACAAATAAGTAATCATACTGTTCTGTTCTTGCACTTCTTCAGTTGTATACATACCCAAATGAGTGCTTATTGAAAGAGTAGTATGCGAACTGTTCTCCACATCGTGGATTTTGACATGTCCTCTTGAGGTTCAAAGGATATATTACAGGTCCCCCTGAAACACGTCCATTATTACGAGTGACATAGTATGATCTTCACATACGGCGGCATACAATATACATATACAATATGTTATCTATTTCTTTCTCTTCAGACAGTTTTATACCTACAATAACTATTTTAAGATTCTTAAAAGTATCCAAGCAACAAAAACGATCAAGAACTAAAATGCAATGGAGTAACTGGTAATATATTCCAAATCACAACTCAACCTATATTTGCTATGTATTATTATTGTATCTTAACAGGATTATATTCAACAACACTCTATAATAACCACCTCTCTTGAGATCATCCATCGCTCTCTGAATGATGTCAAACACAGGCTTATTATCAGCATCCCACACATCGGCTATGTCGTCATCGATTGCCATCGGTCGAATGTCGATGTATATTTTGTTACTATGGCAACCAATGCCAAGTCCGCGTGACTGCAGACGAAGTATGGGTGGACAGCTTCTCAGAAATGAATAGCCAAGATTTACAAGGAAATCGTTTGGCAGGTCTGCCATGGCTGTGACATACACAGCTTGTCCTGTTTCGAACCTCACTTTTTCCTGAGGATGTCTATGGGCGATGTCACGCATGTTGATGGAGTGGGACCTAGGCATCAATAATGTAAGAGTTAATATAATTATTATACATTTCTAGTTCAATCTGCAACTCGTCTTAAATGGAATATTGAGTAGTAATAAAACACCTCCCCTTTCTGAAATATTCATTATAGAATCTCATGTTACTTCATGTACAATAAAATGCATTGTAGTGTATCTTGCAATGAGACATACATATATACAAAGGCGTTTTACAGTTCATAGAGTTATGTGTTAAAGGTATTACTATCTGTAGCTGTTGATACATTGACTCAAAAGACGCTGACTTAAAACAAAGCCTTTTATGAGTATTGTACCTGTAGGCTGAGTCCGGAATGATTTTGATGGCTTCTCCAAGATCGTGTACCACAAGCTCGAGACAGTCTGCCATGTATTGGTCAAGTCTGAAGAACCGCTTCTCTGAATGCTTGAAATCTGATACCTTAAAGTGCTCAGATATTTGTTCGTGTGGGTTAAACCCGTCAAAAAGTAAAGATGTTCTAAACTCGTTCTTTAGCTCTTCGGGGTAGGCGTAGTCTTCGTCCTCGACCCCTACGGCTAACAATGTAGTATCCTGGAAAGGGACAATCGTTGCCTGGTAGCCATCTTGAAGCTTGACATATACGTCAATAGATGAAGACTTGGAGGTGTCTACGAAGTCAAAGCCTGCACAGTTTGCCATAGAGCGGAGCTTGGATATCGATATTGTAGTGACTGATGGGAGAGAAATCTGTAGTTTCCTGTTAATATTGGATAATGCTTTGTACATGATGTTACAGTCCATTGGATGTTATGTAAATATATCATAAATAACGCCTGAATTATAGTACTAGCTAGATTCGATTGGTCAGCTCACAATCATGGGTTTAATTTTGTGAGCCAATTCATATTGTAGTATATCATTGTGCATGCTAGATTGATAACAGAAACATTGCGCGATTCAAGCAAACAGTATTATTGTATAACGGCTGGTAAATACAAATGGTTTAACAAAAACACAAATATATCGGATTCGGACTCTCCACGATATGCACAATCCTACCGTGCACACATATTAAATCCCATTGGAATGTTTTGCTTTCGTCATATCCTTTCGTTTGTTGATTGTTCATGAATTGATGTAACATAGTAGTATACGAATACTTACCTGCCGTTAGATTCAAAGGATTTGTCTTTAGCAGCGCCATTATGAACCTCTTGTGATGGCTTTGTCACTCTCAATTTCGTACCTGCAGTATGACAGCTACATGTACGAGAGGCGTTCAAAAAGTTTTTCAACTTCAATATAAGAGTGGGTGATTTAACTGTACAGCCCAGACATACATGTAGCTCCCAGTGATTATTTCTTGTTCTGGCAAATGAAATCTGGAAGACGCTTCCAGGATGACGAAGGCTGCTACAGAGGCGTGATTAGAGGGTCAATCTGACGATTTCTATTAAAGTGGTATTAAAAGCTTGAAGGACAAATTGAATAAGTGTATTGAGGTGAATGGAGATTATATTGAAAAATAAAAGTGCAAAAGATATTCTGCGACTTGGTCTTATATTGAAGGTGCAAAACGTTTTGAACGCCCCTTGTATATGTACATTTCTAAGCCGGATCTTCACGGGTCACTTTACTAAAGAAGTTGATCTGACCATAAAAAATCTTCCGTTAACGGTGCAGAACGAGTCATACATGTACCTGAATTATGTTGACTGGCGATGGCGGCCAGTCGTCGCAGCCGTATCGCCATTCTGGGGGTCATGACCCTTGTCTGACACCAATCCCAGGGTTCCGTACTGTCAGACCACTCACAAGTGCTTTTGCACCGTCTAGTCGACTGATAGCACATGGCTGATAATGACCCCTCTGGATCAAATGTGAGGTCATCAAATGGATATTGAATCAGCCTGAGGACAATAAAGTTTGTAACAGACAAATGTATACCTATCACATTCAAACACAAGGATGACTCTGTGTACTATATACTATAAAAAAAGGTTCAGCTATACGGAACATATCCATTTAAAATTCTTTGGTTATTTTGGTTAAAGAATTATTAACTCTTGTATCATATACGAAGTTACATATACAGAACATATATCATTTCTTAATTTCTGGGACAAACAACCCTATAGTTAAAAGGCGTTTATTTTAGTGCTTTATTTAATGAGTGAATTGAATGGACTCGCTAAAAAAGAAACTTTACCTGTACTGTATATTGCGTTCTTGCAAAAGAGGATTGATGACTTCGTTAAATATTGGACCATGATGATTATTTATCCACTGTTTAATATTGTCAACGATGCATTTGATAGGGACTATACCTGAAAGAACATCAAAAGTAAGATCAGATTCTTCATTGACCTCATAAATTGTGAGAGAGATGAATCGAACGGATGGCACTTTGAAGCTTAAAAATCTTTGTTACAAATTCACAATGTCAACAGACAGGCATGCATATACTTCAATATTTACCCGTTTTATTCATGGTTCTCATGAAATAGTCCTTCTCCAAATTGTTTGCTGACGGTCCCATGGCAGATCTCCTGGATCTTCGTTGAGACAAGTAATCGTCATGAACACAGAACTGTACATGACCGGAAGAGACATCAAAGAATGGAAATCCAGCGCAAGCACCTAGTTCCGCCAATCTCTTCAATACTGATGTTGACTTTTCAATCTGCAGTGATGTAGAATTGCTGGTGTTTTCAGTTGTCAACGCCACCTGTAGAGCTCTTCCGGTATAATGCAGGGAGGTAATTCCATGACTTCCGTGAGGATCTGCCGACGTAGGTTCATCCCATGCTTCAAGCACCACCAGTTTTCCTGTAATACATACATTGGTATTTAAAACATTTTATGACAGTTAGATAGATCTAACATGAAACAGCCCTGTAACTATCACTCTCCATCTTTGAATTTAAGAATCAAGAATGTATCTGCATGTTATTGATGAAACGGCGACTTACTGTTTGGCCATTCCTTTGCAGCCAGTTGTCCGAGAGTGGTCAATGTTGACGCTGCCACTGATGACATCAGTCTGTCTGCACATGCGTCAATCCTATTGTCTCCATTATCACTCCAGACACATGTATGGCATGCCCGACCTGATTTTCCACACCAGGTAGAGCTCTCACTTTCTTCGGACCGAAACAGGATGAAATCGCCCCCAATCAATGTTAATCTGCAGAATTGGAATTGCATAAGATTATAAGTACTACAAAATTAGCGTTCACTAAAAGTTTGTTGAAACACCGTATCCAATCTTTGTGACATTGTGGTGAATTACATCTACTGACTCATATTTTCGTCAACCAAAGGTTCCTGAAAGGACCATAAAGTATTGTGTCAAAATGAGTGTTTTTTCATCAGTTGTAAATGTACCGGTTTACATACGAGAATACAAACAGTACTCCTTCTAAATGATTAAATACATGAAACTGACATAAATATTCACCACAAAGTGTTAGCGGGGCCTTATTTCGTGATGCATACAGTATTGTATTTTTAAAGGTTACTTGTTAAAATTGCTATCTCCTCTGACAATCTTGTCCCCCGATGCACCACAGATGTCTTCCATTGCCTTCCCATGAACATCAGCGACAGGAGGACCACAGTTTGCCGAGCAGACATTGGAAAGCGGTTCTGTTATCAAATACTTGTGAAAGAGGGATGTGTCTATTAAATCCAGGTCCCTGAAAATATCACAGAAGAGATGCAGAATCCGTGTTATATTTATTCAACTGTCTTCATATGAAACTGAAAAGATATATACATACACAACGTACACGTTATATTGCTGAAAGATGTAGATTCTAAACAATTCGTTGAAAACAACACACTGCTTGTGCAGATCAATGCACATTCAACAAATTCTTTACCAGGAAATGATTTACCATATGGTTTTATGGAAAGCTTTAGCCACAAAATCTGACTTGTCGAAGGTAAATATCCCGTCAACTGTGAGCGTGGCTGTTTCACAGCGACTGTATTCATCCTCGGTAGTTCGGGCGTACAGGACAGGTCTGAAACTTGCAACTTCCGGCGGCGTGAACACAAGGGAAACATCATGCTGAGACCACTGAACAGAAGCTTGTAGAGTAACCTGGCAGACAAGAGGATAAATATTTAAAAATCTCAAATACATGCATGTAAAAACATGAGGGAAAATAATTATTATCGTTACTATTGTCAGGTGAGGAGAGGTGAAATGGTATTAAACGTCGCGTTCAAACGTCTTTCATTTGTATAGTGACGTGCATGACGAAATGAGAATCATAGAATCGGTTAAAGCACATTCATGTACGAATAATAAAATATTGATGAAAACTACAGGGAGAATGGATGAATAAAGGAGGCACCATCACAATTATCTATCGTCTCACCTCTTGATAAAGAGCCATCGAGATGTTGTATGGTTTTGAAGAATGACCAGAGAATGAATGTTCTGAAGATGACCAGGCAGTTGTGGTCAAATCTGTTTTGGGGACATTTTCTGACGCCTCAGTGGAAGCTAAAGCAACAAATGGTAAATGATACGCGAAATATTTGATCTCATACAAGGCATCCTCTCAATAAGCAGTAAATGCAGTGAAACATGCAGTAAGAGACGTATTTGACATAAAACGGATTACTGTAATTTATCAGCGAAATTTTATTGGGGTATTTGTTTTCTTGTGTTGATTCCCTGTGTTCCTGTATGTTTTTTGATAGGGCATAATGAAGCATGACAAAGTAGCACAATGTGTTCCCAGGAATATTATCTCAGAAATATATGTGTAACACAACCGAATTGTTCTCAAATGTATGAAAATACGTTTTCATACTCATAGTGTAATTTCCTTGAACATGGAATTTCCCACTGTAGTTTATTGGTCCATCAGATGTTGCGTTTATTTCCAGATACACAGTTTTGTCATATGAGATAACCAGTTGTATGGCAGGTAACTTCTCGTCCACTATGGCAACTGGTATGGTACGCAGTATGGTAGAAGGTGTCCTTTCCATGACAATTCGCTCTGTGAGGCCAAGAGCTTTTTTGAACTTCACTTCGAACTCGACGTTGAGGTCTGTACTGACATCGCTCTGCATAATTATGAAATATATTTTCTACTATAAACATGAAACGATTAATTTTATAGGATCGGTTTTTGAAAATGAATATCCATTGAATTATATCTTATATGTTAAAGCAAGTGTCAAAACGTTACCCTTATTAACAAACTGCAAGAAATTAGATAAAAAAATAAGTAGCACAACCTGCATTAAGAACTTCTTGACAGTAGCAGTCTTGTTTCGTCGTTCAATTTGAAGGTCCCTGTAAACAAAGCGTAAATGATTGTGAAATGCTTTCAAACTGAACGTGCTTTTTACTTGTTTTATATATCATCATGAAATACTCACATTGTGTGCCCAAGGTGTCTCTGTTCATAGCAGTTCTTGCAGGTAAGGCGGAAGTCAGCATCTCCAGGAATGGCACTTGTCTGGCCTTTATTAATCTTCTCGACCTTGACCTCCTTGTCACCCTGCTCCTTGTATACACTGTATGTTTTGCTTGAGTGATTAGTCTTGGGATCAAAGTTAAAGTTGATAGACTCATCGCCATCAGTAGCGTGGAAGTTGATCTTGTCCAAAACTTTAGAGAGAAGATTTGACACGTATCTTTTCTGACGATGACCATGTTTATTGGTTAAGTGGGGATATCTTAGAAATACTTGTGCTTCCTGAAGTAGATCTAAGGCACTGAAAGCGAAAATTATAGATATGTTAAAATCAGCTTAAATAATAACTTACAACAAACAATACATGGCATGTAGTATATATATTCTGTGGCTTACCTGACGTCGATGCCATAGACTTTGACTTTTGTTGGACTGACGATATCCACATGCTGTATTTTCTTTACAATCGCGACGTGTTTGACCTCTAAACCATATCTCTGACGGACATTGGTGCTCATTAGGTACCACCCTGGCTTCCATGCGGAAGCAACTGAGGTGTCCTGAAGATTCACGATTATCTCCCCTTTGCTGTTTTCGGCAACCTGTTATGGACAGTGTGTGAAAGGAATACAAACAAATTCAATGGATTTGTAATATAATGTTACATAAAATACACACAGACAATATTCTGAGCTTCCAAATTAGGGGTAGAGTATGCCCAAATGTTTTCTATAAAATATAATATTTATCAACTTTAAAGTGCTTAGATATGACACATATGAAAATGTACATACACTGACGTCGGGCAGGACATCGAGATTGACAATGTGTGACAAGAGACCTCTGGAGTTCAGTTCCCATTCAGCATCGTCATCAACATCGTTGCCTCGACTTTGGTGTTTAAATCGACGCCCGCCATTGATAGTAGGAATACAAAATACGCAGAAAACAGCCCATAACACAACAATCTTCATGTTGATCCTTGCTGTGTGAGCAGCCGTTAAGGTTTTCAGAAGAAATCAAACCGGTTCTTTTTACCGGTTAAGGATTGTACAGTCCAACCAAACCGAGCTGGACACGTTCCTTGTAAATGATAAGCTACCCAAGAGCGATACTGCCTATAAATGTTGAGTAGCCAGATATACTAGTATCAAGCAAATACTAAGAAATAATAATATTATTTTCCTTTTTATGAAGGTATAGATCACCACGAAAAGCTGACATTGAATCTTGCAAAATAACTTGATTAGGTTTTTTAACAATTACTTACAGATTTTCAAACGATCATTATTTTGTATTGTATACTAAACTAATTATATTCACATGTTAATAATTGAGAATTGTTATAACATGTCGATTTTATAATCTTTAGTTAATTGAGTTCTATCTCCTTAGCACATTACAATCAACTCAGGGGTAACATACATGTACATGTGATTGGGGGTGAGGGGGTGGGGGAGGGGGGTGGGGGTGCAACAAGGACAGCATTTCTTCTTCGTCTTGTTGTGATCAAGGTGACTTTGTGCCCAATAGGCCTAGAAAAGAGACTCGCCATGTGGTAAAATCAATATGTTATCCACAGGTATTAAGCTGCATTATACATCGAATTTATTGCTGACTAACGCGATCATATCCAAAAAAGTACTTACGACGCTTTAAAGGTCGGTTACGTTTTGGTGAACATTTCCCTTTACACTTAATTATGAAAAAAAAGTATTTTCGTTCTTCAGTCCTGGTATAAAATACATTATCTGCACATGTGTTTCTACATTGACATCTGATACAATACATGGCACTGATAATGTTTTTTTTGCTTTAAAGTGGAACTTTGACGTTTACATTCAAGATTTGGGAAAAATAGTTCGAGAAACAAACAACATGACATCGGAGTTCTGCAACTGCGAAGCCCTCGAATAAAATTCACAAAATATCAATTCTTGGATAAAACAGTAAGGTTCTATATTGGGACAAAATGTTAAATCGGATGTAATGTTGTTGTAATGCTAAAACATTTTATAAAATAAATGCGTTGGTAGTATGTCTCTTTTCCTTTAAAAAAAAAAATAAGAATGTACACAAGAAGAATGTACTAACAGAAGGAATACCGTTCACTCATCACTTTTCGAAATGTCTTTCATAAAAATACAGCAAGTACTAAATACACCTCGTGGTAATGAGTCATGGTGTGAGCGCACTTGCATAGGATTTGGACTAAAAAGTAGGTTTGAAGGTTATGCCAGGAGGGGGTTGGGGGGAGATCGGGGTGTGTGTGTGTGTTTGAAGAGGTGATCACGCATGTGATATCGGCATGTCACAACACACATTGACACATTGAGATACACAAAGGGCAAAATGCCACATAAAAATTGAGGTACACAAAGGGCTTTTGTTAGTCCTTGCAGAACATTTGTCACCCCTGGTGTTAGGAAAACACATTTCAAGAGTCTATCTGTAAACATTGTAAGGTTGCTAAGATCAAATTGTCAATCGCACATTTTGAAATACTAACGTAGCCAGATACTAACATGTATCTCGGAGTTTACTGTCAAAGATTGAAACTTATGAGGATATTCTGTCTCAATTGGTGTTGTCTCAGGGGTAGACAGGTGTTCCTTATCTAGAATTCAAGGTGCATGCGGACAACAAATGTACTGTGTGGACAGATCGTGGCTACTGTATTTGGCCAAGGATCAACTGTAAAACATGTGTCCCCGAACGCCAATATAAGGTCAACCTACCCTTCTACAACCTTCACTGACTTTCCAAATCACGTGTTGTTGATTACTCCTATTTTATATAATGGTTCAGATAAATGTCAGCTTGGTTTTACCGTCAACCTATATTAAATCAAATATAAAGTGAATAAATCAACAATAAATACTACGGTAACTTAACGTGAATTATCGGCCTATTTATATCATATATTTGGGGATCTTTATGGAGAGTTTGCATATTTATATGTTTATGTTTTGTTGAAAGATATTTGTTTTTTTAGCTAAACACTATAACCCAGTGTTGTTTTAATATAATATATCAATATTGTACGATTGGTGGACTCTCGACAATTCAGAGTTAATACATTTATGGTCGACTCATGCTTGTACGTACTTGCAAAAGCAGATTCGGTTGCGTAAGTCTTTTGATTCATGGCACTGTTGATGTCGTCTTGTTTCAGACCTGGTTGAATGTCATAAGTGTATGCATTGGGAAAGAATTTCCATATCTCTCTTTATGCATTAAAGGATGAAGGATTGTAGAGATAACAAAAAGTCAGATAAGGATTTATAATATACTTCAGTGTGAAAGAGTGAGCTGTCTGAAATTGAGAAACGTCATGTTTTCATTGCAGCGAACATAACACTTGGTATGTCACTGCCGTGAACATAACACTTTGACGGAACTATTGTCATTAAGAAGCTACATGTATATCCCCGCAAATTGCCTTCCGTTATCGTAGGTGTCTGGCCCGTACACAAACTGTTGACTTCCTTTTTACGTTGGTTACACTTTGACAAGGCATTATAGTGAGCGATGGTAATTTATGGACGTAATATAGCTTATTGCCATTTGTTATTCTCGTGAAACTGTTTCGTTGTAATTTGTAAATTTCTCATTTAACACGTCAATCGAGATTGTTCATTTCGCAAAGCACCATTTTTGTTACTGGAACAGCATGTATTCCTTCGCTTCCAACAGCGGTGTGGATGCTTTCAAGAATATTTGGTTTTAAGTTGATTTAAACTAACGTCCAAAAGAAACTTTACCAGAGTTTGAAATCACTTTTGCCCAAAAACAACAAAACATACATGCATCAAGTAAAGTGTATTGAAAAGATCAATATATCAACATAATCAACACTGAAAATGACAATCATACCGCCACCGAGAATGACGTCAGAGCCCCCCAAAGTTGGGTGTGGTACAAAACTCGAGCTTTTAGAATCATGGACAATAGGCAGAGTACATAAACAATCGCTCACGTTCAATAACAAGTCATTAGTAGCTTGTGTGACCACCAAATACCTCAATACACGCAAAAACTCTTCGACGCACAGAAAAAGTCAGTCGTCTGATGAGGTCACGTGGGATTTGACGCCATTCTTCTTGGAGGGCCAAGATCAGTTCCTGCCGGAACTGTCCTAGAGGTGTCCTAGAGGTGTTCTATGTGGGACATGTCGGGTGAGCGTGCAGGCCACGGCAGGACGTTGACGTTGTTGGCTGCGAGGAAGTTAGTGACAATTGTGGCTGTATGGGCTCTAGCGTTGTCATGCTGATAAATGACACCACGTAGCTGCTGTTGGAGAAATGGTAGGGCAACTGGACGAAGAATGTTATCCTTGTAACGCTGAGCTGTCAAGTTTCCATCAACCGTGACCAGCGGTGTCCTCTCCTGCCCACAGATCCCTCCCCACACCATGACACTCCCTCCACCATATGGTACGACCTCCTGCACGCAACACGCCGCTGTTCGTTCACCCCTTCGGCGGTAAACACGTTGTCTTCCATCAGCCCTAAACATACAGAATCGACTTTCGTCAGTGAAGACAACCCTTTGCCAGTCACGTCGTTGCCAACGTCGTACAATCCGGGCCCATCTCAATCGCAGACGGCGATGTTGCGCTGTCAATAGCTGTCCTCTGTATGGTCTGAAAGCCCTGATTCCATGAGCCCTGAGTCTCCTGGCAACTGTCTGTCGACTAACCCTGTGACCTAAGGCATTTGTCGCCGATGACGTCACTGTCAGGAAGCGATTTCGGAGTTGCAAGGTACGCAAGTACCGGTTATTATGGGACGTGGTCACCCTGGGTCTGCCTGTTCTTGGCCTGTCACTGGTCCGCCCTGTCTGTCTGTAACGTTGCATCACGTTGGTAACGGCAACACGGCAAGCAACCGATGGTTCGTGCAATATGAGCGTGGGTGGCTCCCATCTGTACCATACCCAAGGCTTGTTCACGTTGTTCGACTGTGAGTCGTGGCATTTCATTTTGTGTTTTTTTTATCACTGTGGATGTCTGACTTGCCGTTGCAATCGTTTTATACCCTTACCCGCACGTGCATTTGCAGTTGTCCGTGGTGCACGTGTTTTTCACTTTTTCGCGTGTTATCTCGCAAACATGTAACAGACGATTAACATTTTCTGCATACACTATTGTTGTATTTAGGTTATGTGTTTTAGATAGACTTCATCGAAAAAAAAAATACTTTGTCTGAAATTTATATTTTCAGTTGGTAAAGTTTCTTTTGGACGTCAGTTTATGAAAAAGAACTTTAGTGACCTCAAGTTGTTACTTTTGTTTATAGTTTTTAAGATTTTGCACTTACAAGGGGTGGTGAAACGTCTCTGCGTGTTAGGTAGGGAGAATTTACGTTTCAAGGTTTTACATAAAAATTATGTTTCCGGTAGACAAATGTTTATAATAAATAGGCTATTCCTCGTGTCTCGTGAACTATCATGTTTCTCCCATCTCGTTACTCGAAAAGAGACACAAGATATTTCACTCGACACATTAAATATCCTCTATGTATTCAATTATACATGTTCATATCAACAGTAGGTCAATCATTTATCAGCAGATTATCCCACCTGATGTAGCTGTTGCAAGCAATTATTAGCTCTAAATTAGCTCAAAACTTCAAATGTTTAACAAACACACTTAGTGTATGTAAACCTTTGAAAGCTAATCATAAAATACAGAACCCTCAAGGAAATTACAAAAGAACAACGAAACCATAGATGGTGTAACATCTGAACGTTCCACCTTTTATGAATAGAAATATAGTGCGAGCAGTCATCGTAGGACTTATGACACGGATACATTGGTCTTTACATGCATGCATATTTATGTCTTAAGATTTGATTACAAGGTTTTGGATGGAGCTGCACTGGTTCGTCTGTAATGTATGGATGGGATATAGGAGGCCTTTGTCTGTAATGTATGGATAGGACATAGGAGGCCTTTGTCTGTAATGTATGGATAGGACATAGGAGGCCTTTGTCTGTAATGTATGAATGGGGTATAGGAGGCCTTTGTCTGTAATGTATGGATGGGGT